GGATGGGCTGGCACCCGGGGCCTAAAGAACTCCTGCTCACTGGCCACAATCCTTTTGTCTCCTCTCTCTCTTAGGTGCTCCCTCCTTCCCCATCTTTCTCTGTATTAGCGTAGTTTTGTCACTGACCTCCTCATATGCTGGCCCTGTTTCTCTTTTGCTCCTCCTTCCCCTATCTCTCCATCTATCACCCTCTGTGCTTCTGTCCCTCCCTTGCTTTCCAGCCTGTTTCTCTTGGTCCCTCTCATTCAAAAGAAAGCAGTGTTCCTTTGCAGGAGATCTGGAAGTCCAGGGGCTGAGGTGGAGAGGGTAGGGAGTTCCCTCCCACCCCAATATCCCTCACCCAGCTGTATCCTTGGGTCTTAGGGGGGAGGGCAAGCAAAAAAAAAAAAAGAAAGAAAAAAAAAAGAAAAAAAAAACACCCAAAGAAGGGTTTTTGTTTGTTTTTGAGGGGGAAATCCCAGAAATGTAGCTTGTTTAATATTTTAGGCCTCTTATTTTTGTAAGATGTGTAGAATTTGCTGTTTGTTGTTTTATTTTGACAACTCAGGAAGAAACTGACCTCAGAAAGAATGTTAGACTTTGGCTGCTCTCCTGCGTGTTCCCTGCCCCCAACCCCTCCCCAGGGAGCAAATTCTCCCAGGAGACTCAAAAAGTGAGGTGGGAAGGGGAGAGGAAGACCCAGAGCCACACCTGAAACCCCTGCTCTTCCTGGGACAGAAGCGGAATGTATTTCTAGGGCTTCCTCCCCAGGTCCAAGGTTGTAGCCAGGGGTGTGGGGGAGTGGGTTGTGGGATTTGAGAAGAGGTAGGTCCTGCTGCTCTCCCCCCTGAGCCCAACCCCCAAGCTTAGTGTTAGCTGTTTAGTGTTATCCAGAGGGATGCCCCTTGCCCCCTTTCCTGCCCCGGGAAAGAGAGGGCCCAGATGGGAGGGTGACCTAGGCAGGAAGTCCCCAGAGAGCTCATCTCACCTAGCCTTTCACAGGCAGAGGTCTTCTATAACTTACCTTAGGAGGATTCCCTTGGGAGAGAAGACAGTGTGGCCACTAGTCTGGCGGGGCACAAAACTGACTACAGACTCCGCTTCCCGGTGTGTTGGGAGGCTCCAAGGAGGAGTGAGCACCGGTTAGAAGAATGTGCCTCTCCCATTATCCTAGGGTCCTAGGTTGGGAGCTTCAGGGGCTGTGAGAGTGTGAAGGAGATGGGTAGACTGTTTTTCCCTGAAGTGGGGGGTTTATTTTCAGTCCCACCCAAACTTTCCACTGGAAGCCAGGCTTGGGGACCCTTCCTTTGAGAACAATACTCCTCTCCTTCCCAGCAACTTACCCTTGACAGGGCTTTGGTTTGTCTCCCTCCCGTCAGGGAGCCCATTTCACAGCTCGGACCTTTGCTCCAAAGTAGGATGCAAGCCCTCACCTTACCTCTTCTCTCTCCCTCCCAGCCCCCCTCCCCCATTCCCTTATAGCTCCTACAGTCTCTGTACCATCTCCCACTCCCAGCTGGAAGGGTGTCCATGGGGGACATTTCAGGTGCCAAGATGCTGAGGGCCTGTGCTGCGCTAGGAGTGCTAACAGAAAAGCTGCTCTGTTTTCCCCTCCTTTTCATCCTTTGTCTTTTCGGGCCTCCTCTCCTCTGAGCTGGCTGGCTGCAGGGCTTTGGTGCCTCACACTGCTGTGCAGGGCCATTTGGAGGGAGCAGGGTGTGAGGAAGTTCTCTCAGGTGTGTGTATGTATATGGGGGGGCGGTGGAGGGCATGGGGAAGTGGGGTTGGGATCCCAGCCTTCCCTTCAAGAGGCAGGCAGTTGGGGGCCAAGGGAGGAGCTCCCTGAGACCCAGGGCCCCCACTGCCTCCTCTACTGGCCTTGGGGAACTTTGCACAAGGAGACGGCCCCCAGTCTACTAGCACCTACCTCATGGGCATTGGGGTGGGTCGGGTTAGGAGGGGGGTAAGGGCAGGTCCAGCTCTGGCAATGTTGAGGGGGCATACCAAAGAATCCAGGGGCAGGCATTGGGGGAGGGCGGGCGGACTTGGCAAGCTGGCCCTCCTTATCCTCTACCCACACTGGGGTTGGGGTCCTCTCCCCCAGCTGTAACCATTTCTACCTCATTTTGCTGCGTGTTGTACATGGACGTATTTATCTCCTGACGATGCTCTGCAGTTGTGGTCTGTCTACCTCAGAAGAGACTGTATTTTAAAAGAAAGTATTACACAGTATTAAAGCGATGACATGTGGTTTCCAGAGGATTTCTTGGGGGCAGCAGGATGTGGGGAGCCCGCTGGGGAAATGCCTGGGCATCCAGCTGTGCCATGGGTGTGGCCCTGTGGGTGTTTCTAGTCCTTTGGCAGAACAGCACTGCGGGACCCCAGGTACTCATTCTGGCCCAGCCAGGACCTACCAGGGATTGGGCACAGAGGCTACCAGGTGAGAAGCACCAGGGGGAGGACCTCCTACGAGCTCCCAGAGGCTCAGACTTCTACCTCCAGAGTCCCAAAGTACCAGGGGAAAGAAGGGCTCACATGTTTGTTGAATGAGTGAATGGATGAGGAAATGAATGCTTGGAGAAAAGGGGGGCTGAAGAGAACGGTGCACTCAGAGTGTGGACAGCAGCCCTTGCTGGCTAGAGCTAAGATTAGACTTGAGTCCTGGAGGGAGGGAGGGGGGCAGAGCGCAGGGCGTGGAGACAGCTAAGCTCCAGTCTTCAGGGGTGTGTGGGATCCTTTGTCCATCACCATCTGCCCATTCCCAAACTATCTTTGCCAGTGCATCATAAACCAAGAGTCTGAGAACTAAGAAGGAAGAGCTTGTTGAAAAAGCTGTATGTAGGGGCGCCTGGGTGGCTCAGTGGGTTAAACCTCTGCCTTCAGCTCAGGTCCAGAGATCGAGCCCCGAATCAGGCTCTCTGCTCAGCAGGGAGCCTGCTTCCCCCTCTCTCTCTGCCTGCCGCTCTGCCTGCTTGTGATCTCTGTTGAAAAAAGAAAAAAGAAAAGAAAAAAGAAAAGAAAAAGCTGTATGGAGATAGCTGTGAGAGGTGTGGATCCACAACCTCCTGAGGTCTTTGAATGCTCTAAGCAAAATTACCCAGGACCAGCGTGCTTGGAGAGCAGCGCATGTGCAGGCAGGCTCAGGGCTGAGGCATGCCCTGGGCTTTCAGGAGGCAAAGCAAGCCCAAGTGGGGAGAGCCTGCAAAGCAGACGGTTCCCCTGTGGCAGAAAGAATTGTGTGCCTGCACATGGGGGCCCCCGGGCATTGCCCCGGGACTCAGCGCCACCAGACCTTTTGGCCCTTGGAGGTCTAGACCTCCCTCACACTCTAGTTGGTTTATTCTGCAGCTATTCTTTGCAGACTCTGTGTAGCAATGGTTAAGCACAGCCACTGTTCAAGGGGAGAAGAGCTCAAAAATGGATCATTCGAAAATAAGTGGATGAAGCAGCTTGGGGAGGGACCCTATAAAAATTTTATATTCTCACGTCCAGTATAGGATTTGGTACATGGAAGACACTAAAATACTAGATAAGTCCTTCAATTAATCAATTTCCAGAGAAATGTCCCAATGGAGTATGCACAGGCTGTTTTGTAACAGAAAACCAAAATAGGCTATCACAAGGATGCCCAGAGGAGCCCCTGCCTCCTAGTGGCAGAGGCGGTGGTGTATCAGAAAAACTTCCTGGGGGGCGCCTGGGTGGTTCAGTGGGTTAAGCCTCTGCCTTCCGCAGGTCATGATCTCAGGGTCCTGGGATTGAGCCCCACATCAGGATCTCTGCTCAGCAGGGAGCCTGCTTCCCCCTCTCTGCCTACTTGTGATATCTCTCTCTCTCTGTGTCAAATAAAGAAAGAAATAAAATCTTAAAAAAAAAAAAAAAAAAAGAAGAAGAAGAAAAAAGAAAAACTTCCTGGGCAGGAAGCCAGGGGTTGTGGGGAACAGGGGAGCAGCCAAACAGAGCTCCAGAGGTTGGAAAGCACCATGGGTGATTTGTTACAAGAGCATAAAGTGAGGGTGGGAGGAAGTGAGGCTGGAGGAGTCACTGGGACTTCACCATGGCACCCTGAGGACTTTTCCTGCCCGTGAGGAGCTGAGACTCTGAAAGTCATGTGTGTGTTGGGAGGAAAGGAGGTCGGTAGCCTGTGGACAGGGACTGATTTGCAAGTTAAGAATGCACACATGGATCCAACAAATCTTTACTGAACACCTACTTTTCACTAGTTGCTACAGGGACAGCAGATGGACCTGACACTTGAATGGAGGAGACAGCAAAAAGGCAGAGCTGCACGGTAACGTAGGAGTAGATAAGAGGACTACCTCGTGGTGAGGCGGGAAGGGTGTGTATTGTAGTCAAGTAGGGCTTCCCAGCAGGGACTTGTCAGCTGAAGAGTGACCACACCGCAGAGCCAGAAGGGATCTTGCTCAGGGAAGGAAACAAGGTTAGGGAGTGGGGACTTGAGGAGTCTCCCTAATCCAGACAAGAGAAGGCCAGGGTTTGGAGGCATGGTGGGAGGATGGGAATTGGTGATTCTAGAAATATTTGGTATTTAGTAGATATCCAGAGAATTTAGGATTGGGTATTGGATGATGGTGAGCTGGAGGCTGAAGGACGGTGAATGGATTAGTAGAGATGGGGGAGACGTAACTTAAGGCATTAGTGGGCTTGTCAGGCCGCAGGCCTAGGGCGGGCGTTCTAACCTAAGGGCCCAGGATCCCAGCCTCCTGGGGGACTGGGTGTGCCTGACCACTGGGTGTTAGGAAACTCACTCCTAATTCCCTTCAGTTCCCAGTTTCCTGGTGCTGGGAGATCCCATGTGTGGGTCGCCCCCTCGCCCCCAGTCCCTGCCTGCGGAAGCCGCCCCCTCCCCAGCCCCGTCCCCCGCCACGCCCCGTCCCCCTCCCCACCCATCCCCCTCCCCCCCACGCCGCGGGTACCAGGCACCCATCCCCCACCCGTGGGCGTTCGGAGCTCCTCCCACCATAGTGGGTGCGGCGCGGTCACAGCCAGCGATGGTGATGGCGATGGCGGCGCGGGCTCAGACCCGGGCCCTGGCGCTGGTGCTCTGGGGCTGGGCGGTGGCCCCGGCGGGAGCCCTGGACGCCATGGGCCCCCACGAGGCCGTCCGTCTGGCCGAGCTGCTGACCCCGGAGGAGTGCGACCATTTCCAGTCTCTCCTGAAGGCGCCGGAGCCGGACGTCGAGGCCGAACTGGCCCGGCTCTCTGAGGACCGGCTGGCCCGCCCTGAGACGCCGGCGTCCACGTCCGCGCCGCGGGGCCGGTTGTGGCGGCGGCGGCGGGCGGCGGCCGAGCCCGCGGAGGTGTCGGACGGCTGCCGGGAGGGGCTGGCGGCCTGGCTGGCGGCCAAGGCCTCCACCCTGTCTTGGGACCGCGTGGCCCGTGCTCTGCGGCGCAGCGGCCGCCCGGACGTGGCCCGGGAGCTGGGCAAGAATCTCCACCAGCAGGCGACGCTGCAGCTGCGCAAGTTCGGCCAGCGCTACGTGCGGCTGCCCGCCGCCCCAGGTCTCGGCTCCGGCCCCCGCCCCGGCCCCCGCCCCGGCCCCCGCCCCGGCCCTGCCGCCGCGCCCCCAGCCCCGCGCCCCCGCCGCGCCTCGCTCCCCGAGCCCGACTGGGACGGGCTGCAGCTGATCGTGGAGCGTCTGCCGCAGGCGCCCTACGAGCGCAGCCCCACCGGCTGGGTCGGGCCGCTGGCGCTCGGCCTCCTCACCGGCTTCGTGGGGGCGCTGGGCACCGGGGCGCTGCTCATCGTGCTCACGCTGTGGCTCACGGGCGGCGACGGCCCCGGCCCCGGCCCGCAGCCGGGCCCCCGTCCTCCCCGGCGCAGGCCCGCCCAGGCGCTTGGCGCGGCGGAAGCGAGGCCGCTCCTGTCTGCGGAGCGGCTCCAGCCACCGCCGACGAGGGCCTGGGCCGCGCGCTGGCCCGGTCCCCCCTCGCCTCAGTGTCCCCGGCTGTGAGACGGGACCGCCGCCCTGGCAGAGAGCCGCCTTCGCCCTGTTATAAACATTACCAAATCCGCAAAGGAGGGAGCAAGCGTTGGTTTGTTGGAAATAGCTGCATCGCCAGCGGGGCTGCCCGGGGAGAGGAGGATCTCGGTGCCCGTGTCCCCCCAGGGTGGGAGGCAGGCCGTCCCGCTTGCCAGCTCTAGTGCCTTCTTCTCTCACGGAGATTCTTGCACGGACAGCTACCACTTAGTGAGAGCTGACCGTCCGCCAAGCCCCGTGGGAAGCAGTTACCTACATGATTTGACACACTTCAGAACCCAAGAAAAGCAGGTGTGCTCTCCGTGACACGTAAAGAAAACGGGCCACAGCTAGTTAGTGGCATATCAGGGTTTTGAATCCAGAGCGGCCTGAGCCGAAAGTTGAACTCCAGAGGGTATGATCTGTGACCTAAGGGAGCCGGACAAGATGTGGAGTTTCTGCTTACTCGGATGCCCCACTGCAGTTGCAGGGCCAGGACACTAGAGGTGTCCCCACTTTCAGGGGCTGCCACCTCCAAGCTGCTTTCCCTACTCAGGCAAGGCCCCCTAAATGGAGGAGACAGTAAGACCTACCATACCTGGAGCCCCAAACGTTTCCCACCCTCCTGAGTGGCTGGGGCTCTGCCAGCCCATATGAGGAGCTGAGGATGGGTGAGCCCTCAGACTCCATCCCCTGTCTCAGGGGAAGGCAAAGAGGACAGTTGTGGGGTCTTGCTGGGTGGGAGAGCTTGACTCCCCCCGTCCACCCCCAGCTGAGGGGCTTTGGTGTGAGAACAATGACAGAATGACAGGCCAGTCCAAGAGGAGAGTTGAAAACAAGATTGACGTAACCCTTTATTGCAAATTCTAAAGTAAAAAGATGTACAGTACAAAGTAAAATTGAAATTTCAGACTATAAACTTCCAATCCACTTATGCATTCTCATTTCTCAAGCATTTCTGCCATTTCCGCGTAAACGGAACAGGGAACAAGTCGAGGGGGTGAGGGAAGGAGGAGATACAGCAAGGGAACAAAATTAAGTGTCTAGAATAATCACAAACCCCAGAAGCAAGTGAAAGGAAAGACATTTTCTCGACCTGCTGTCCTGGTGATGAGAAGCGGGGGTGGTTGGAGCAGTGCAGTTTAAAATGGCTCTCAGAATAGCAGCATTTATGGTACCATTTCATCTTTCTTAAGTCCAAATAATACTTTGCCCTTCCCTAGTGCCTTTGCCTCTGTATCTCAAAACACTTTACAAAACATTTAGTTAAAGCCTCACAACACCCCTGTGAGGTAGGTCAGTATTATTATCCCCATTTTACAGATGAGGAAACTGAGGCACAGAGAGGTTAAGTGACTTGCCCAAGGCCACACAGCGAGCCAGTGGTTGAGCTGGGGATGGAACACAGGAGTTCTATCCCTTTTCTGGAACCACTGGACCACGCTCCCCTTTACCTATATACATTCTTCACACACACACACCACACGTGCACACCTGCCCACCCCACCCCACTTAGCCTCTATGTACAGCAAACAGCAGTGGGGGGCAGGGGCAGGGGGTGCCTCAGGAGCATTTTCATGGAGGAAATCTTGGTAATCTTGGAAAGGAACTCCAAGAAAGCACAGAGGTGAGCCACAGTGCAGACTTCTGTGCACACCTTGGGCCCCTCCTGACCCAGACTTCCTCTTCTCTCCTGATGTCCCCCTGGCTGGCTAGTTGCAGCCGATTCTTTAGGGGGTGGGGGTACCTGAAAATGAACGAAGCTTTTTGCAAAACTTTGGGCAACATCTGAGAAAAGAAAGAGGCATCATTACAGAAGATGCCCAGGACTCAAGTCACAAAGTCATAACCCATGGCAATCTCACCTCCACAGCAGGCCTGGAGGCTGGGGCCGAGGGGAGGAGGATGGGGACTGACCTACCAGCCATCTCTCTCCAGAGTGGAGCTACTGGAGCGGACTAGAGTGGGCACTTCAAAATCCTCCTGAGAGTGTTCCTGGACGGGGAGACATGGCCTAGAGTGGGATGTCCCCAAAGCAGGGCAGGGTGAGGGAGGGGAGCGGTACTCCTCTTCCCTGCACAAATGTGAAGGAGACCAGCTGTAGTCTGCTGGTGTATGTGTTGGGGTGATGGAGGGCAGGGCCCAGCATTAGCTAGCAGAGTGGAGACACTGGGCATCGTGCTTGCCCAAGCTTTGGGGCATTAGGATAGGGTTTCTTTTTTTGTTGTTTTTTGCTTTTTTTTGTTTTAACATACTGGTGAAAAAGGCAGAAGTGAGGCCAGTATGGCTGGGTTGGCTGACGTCATCTCTGGGGGCTCTGCCAGGTGGACTGGTGAAGAAGGGGTTTTGTGGGCCCGGAAGCACTGGCCCGGGAGGGGGAAGAACGCCACATGCAATGGGTAAGTGCTGGGTGGGTGGGGATCTGGGTAGGGGGGAGGGGGTGGGTGGGACCTTGCTCTTCTCTCCAATCTTTACTTCTCAGCCAGAACTTTTCTCCCTTCTGTTCCCCTCCTTTCCCCAAATGTGCTAAGGTCCCGATTCCCAGACCCCTCCCAGGACTCAAGAATTGGGATAGTCAAGCAACAAACGGACACCAAGACAGGCTTCCCTTGTACAGCAAAAAGGGTCATTTTTATTTTGTTTCCTTTTGGCTTATAGTAGTGATGTACTTTTTTTTTTTTTTTTTTAATCATGTCTCATTTAGAGCAGTGTTGGCCTCCATGCATTCACTAATACACTAATCTTCACTAGTGGTCTTTTACAAGTTTACATTTGTTGCGGCGGAAAAGAAAAGAACTTTGGGCACTGTCGTTCCGGGGGCTGTGACTGGGAGCGACTGCTTATTTCTCCCCAGTCAACTTCTGACGCCAAAAGTGGTTCATTTAGAGAAGTGGGAGTAGGTCATGTTGACTCGGGACGTTTTCGCTGCTCTCACCCTCTGCTTTAAACTATGGAGTCTCCTCAGCCTACAGCAACACGGAGGTTAAGGGAAGAAGAGGGGAAAGTGTTTTTCACACACAAACCAGCAACGGTGTCAGCTGCTGCTCAGTGGCTTTGGCTCTGCATTTTAAGTTAACAGCATCGCACATGTCTTTTTGCTTTTTGTCCTTTTTTAAAAGGTGGATTGTGGAGTATAAATACTGCACCAAGGACCTGGCTACAAAAAATAAATATTTATATTATATTTATATATCTATATATATATATGTGCAGTGATACTGTGGCTGCGGCTGCTTTTTGATTGGCTTCGTTAATATTTGGCAAAGCGTTGCCACTTACCCACTCAGTGAAGGCGCACGGAAACGTCACCGACTCAGTTCAGTGCCTGTTAGCTGCGGGTGTAAACTGCTGGTGATGGTGTCATTTACTACCAAAGAAGTGTGGAGCAGGGCAGGTAAGTGAGAGAGTGAGCAAGCGAGTGGGTGGAGGGACGGTGGGTGAGGGAAAAGAAGGTAGGAAAAGTTAAAAAAAAAAAAAAAGTTGAAACATCAGATAGAGTGTGGGGGCTTCTTCCCTACGAAGCTGGCTGATGGGTGTCAGATACCAAGGCCCATTTGTGTGTTACTGAGGAGATAGCTGCTGAGGGTCTGGGGGGAGGGAAAAGGTCAGATCTTAGAAAAAATCTCATTAATATGCTCTAGTAGCTTAATGACATCACTAGCATGAGCGCTTGGGGGGTACCGAGTGGGATCTTATAGCTCTGTTGCCCATCCCAAGACCTAAGAACAATTATGAAGTTTAGCCAAATCTTGCATAGAAGTGGTTAGAATTTATTGCACATTGGAACAAAAATATATATATTTTTTGTTGTTTTGGAAAAGACCATTAGCAATAAAAAATTTTTTGTCTGTCTGTCTGGTTTGGGGATGTACATTGGCTGACAGCATCTAAGATCTAAGAAGAAAGAAAAGTATAAAAAATAAAAATAAACATGACAATGGCATAAGCCAGAAGCCATTTCCTATTTGATAAGTTAATAATTTGTATTTACAAAAAGGCATGCCAATAAAATAAAATGATATATTACAGTATTTATAATTCTCTTAAAAAGAAGAGCCACACATGTCAGCTTCTGTTTTGTGCTGTTTACGATGTAGCCTGTACATGTTACCATACATTCGTCCTAGCAGTTAGCAGGGTCACTGAGAGAAATGCTTTTCCAGCCTGGTGTCGGGGGATAGTACAAAAGTCCTACAGAGGAGGCCACAGAAGCAGGCTGATGAGAGCCGGGCAGAGTTTCTAACGGTCCGACAAGAGAGAAAGCTCTGCTTTGGCTGGCTGTGGTTTGTTCTATGCAAAACTAGTCAGGTGGTTAGTACAATCGCACCAGAGTGCTTCTACGGCAAGGCAGACGGGCGTGTCTGATTACAGGGTGCTTTCAGTCCCCCTCGGTTTTATGGTTCGGGAAGAATTTGTTTTGATTTGGTTTGCTTGCTCAAGTCTCCTCGTTCTCTGTGAGGACTTCCTGACATTCAAGTGCAGCCTCGTGGCTGTGAGTGCTAGTCATCAGAGGAGAGACCCCTGGACTAAAAACTGTCTTCCCGATGGAATGGAAGACACTGTGCTCCCCACAAAGCCACCCTCCAAGGACAATGGGCAGGTCGCTAAGCAGATGGCACAACTGGTGGAGAGGGAACTGTGCAGGGGCCGGCGTGAGGGGTTGGGGGGGAAGCTGGGACGTCTAAAGAATTCACATTAAATCGCTGTCTCATGAGAATCAGTGCAATAAAGAAACCAAGTGGGCTTGGTTTAGAGGCGGCTCCATCTCTCCCTCAGGTCCCACCAGTGACTACTCTATAATGCACGGAAGAAACCACCGCCACAGCCCCCAGGGCTTCTGCCCTCACCCAGCTCTGTAGGTAAGGAAAGCCCCGCTTGGTGCAAAAATGAGATGGAGGCAAGAGGAACCATGCAGTGTGTGAGCTCGCGACAAGCCCTCTGTAGAGTGGGGAGGCCTGTCGGGAAGATCTGCACCCCTCTCCAGCGGGACCCAAGCCTGAGAAAGCCACAGTGCAGACGGACAGGACACTGAATTAATTGACCCCAACCCCCCATGAAAGTTTTTCAGTTCCCCAAATTGCCCCCTAGAGATAATGTGCCACTTTAAGTAGCACTTTTATCTCTGCCCCAAGGAAGTGTCAGTTCTCCAGTATGAAGGCGAAACAATCATCATAAATATTGCAATACAAATGAACTTTTTTTGGATTTTTTTGTTTTTAGCCCTAGGATTTGGTTTTACAGTGACATTATTAATACAAGCCATTCGAGATCAAAGTTTCCCCATGGAGGGACACAGAGCAGCATTTAAATAGTTCATCTTTCGAAATGTGCAACAATGGCTGTATGTTAGAGACGTCTGTTAAACATACACACACAACGGATCCGTCTGCTTGTTGGACTGGGTTTGTTTTTTGGTGGTGGTGGTCAATTGGTCGCTTATGTTTCCCTACCCAGAAGGTGTATGAAAGACTTCTAAGAATTCATAAGGATTTGCAGCGGGTATGGAACTCTTACCATTTTTTTTTTTCTCCAAATACAGTGAACGGTGCAGGGCTGGGTCCCGTCTGAAGGCTGACCCAGTGCAGGGGACAGGATTAGTAGTGTCCTGTGGTGTATGGTTCTCATGCATGACTTCTGATCACGGCATGCCATCATGCAAATCATTTCTACGCATTGAACGAGCACAATGTTTGGAATTGGCCTGAGCAAGTCCTCCTCAGCCTGAAGAAACCTGATTGTTTCCCCCACCCATCTCCAAACCACGTGAAGCCCATGTGGAGAAGATGCGGTTTATGTCAAAGAAACTGACAGTTGAATGCCACGGGCTAGATGTGAGTGTGTGTGTGTGTGTCTGTGTGTCTGTGTGTGTGTTTTCTTTTTGCTGCTTAGCTTAACTAATGTAAGAATGCAAATACAGTTTGCATGGACAAACAAACTTTTAAAGTGATGCTTTCTGCTTCTGAGAATCACCAAAATGAAAAAATAAAATCCCTTTGGCTGCAACGGAAATCTGCTGGTCCCGGCAGCCTCTCCTCTGGTTTTTGTATCCTGTTGGTTTTGTCCTAAGTTGCATTGACTGATGTGGAACATGCAGTAACCACCTGCCCAAGCGTTAGAAAATCTGTGAGTCCGGGGAGCAGGGTCCTTGGCCCTTGGCAGGTCACTGCTCAAGATGCAACCGTGTTACATGGTAAGCAGACTACGTTTGGTATAGATCTTCAGTTCAAGTGTCTCCACAGCTGTTCTGCATTGAGAAGATTCAGGAAGTTTGTAAACAATCTTTCACTTGCAAGTTTTACATCTGTACAATATTTAATTTTTGCTTTCCTCTAACACTTGGATTCTCTGACCTCTTTTTGTCTTCTGGCCCTTTCCCTTCTTCCTTCCTCTGCCCGTTGCTGTTTTTCCTTCTCAGGTTTAGTTACGCTGTCATAGGACGGGAGGGAGGCTGTGGACGGGGTGCTCTCCTTTTTCTCCCGGTGTGTGCCTCCGTTCTCCAGCTTATTGGAAGTGGTCTTTTTGCAAATGAAACCCCGCCTCGCTAAATGTCCCCGGTAGGCGCGCTGCAGGACCACGGCCGACACCTCCTCCTGCTTGCGTCTCAGTGTGGTCGTGATGGGCTCGTAAGACACTTTGGAAGGGTTGGACGCCACGAACCGCTCCTCCATCTGCTGGCGGAGGATGTCCAGCTCCCCGCTGTCTCCCAGGACCCGCTTGGTGAAGGCAAAAAGGATGTCCAAGCAGTGGATGCGGTCCCCGCTGACCATGGGCAGGTCCATGGCAATGAGCTCAATGGTGTTGGGCTTGGGCACTCGGAGAGGGTGCTCCAAGGCATCTGCAAAGTCTGCCAGCTTACAGTACTCGATGAACTGGGTGGCATCGGGGTCAAACTTCTCCCAGATCTCGTAGAAGGTCTCAAAGTCATCCTCACTCAGAGGGTCGGCACTTTCCTCTGTGGCTACACTGAAGTTCTCCAAGATGATGGCAATATACATGTTCACAACGATCAGGAAGGAGATGATGATGTAGCTTACGAAGAAGAAGATGCCCACGGAGGGGTTCCCGCAGTCGCCCTTGAAGCCACTCCCTGGGTGCTCCTTATCCAGACTGCAGTCAGGCGGGCGGTTCAGGATGGGCAGCAGCAGGCCGTCCCAGCCAGCTGAGGTTGTGATCTGAAACAGGCAGATCATGCTATTGCCAAAGGTCTCAAAGTTGAACATGTCGTCGATGCCAGCCTCGTGCTTTACATACGCGAAATTGGACATCCCGAAGATGGAGAAGATGAACATGACCAGGAAGAGCAGAAGGCCAATGTTGAACAGAGCAGGCAAGGACATCATTAAGGCAAAGAGCAGGGTCCGAATCCCTTTGGCACCTTTGATCAGACGCAAGATGCGCCCGATACGGGCCAATCGGATGACTCGGAATAGGGTTGGGGAAACAAAGTATTTCTCAATTATATCAGCCAGGAACATTCCTAAGAAGAGGACAGAAGAAGAAATGTTACTGAGACTGGAGACCCCTTTCTCTTAGGTCACCTGGCACTGGAGCCCTTATGTCCAAAGGGCTTCACAGAATGAGCGCCTTACCATTCAATTGGGACTCTCATGATGAAAAAAGAAAATCACCTGTTTCAAATGTATGCAAAAGCAGAGGAAACAATAACATAGACATCTATGCACTTCACATCCAGATTGAATAGACGCAAGTAATTTTACCAAATTTGCTTCCTCTCTTCAACCACGGTCCTGGAGATGGTGGAGTATCATTCCAGTTTCTTCACAATTTCACTACAGATGAATCCACGCTATCATAGCTAGATAGATAGCATCCTAGCATCCTACTATGTTGAAAGAATTATACTGTATCTTTTTAGAACTTTTTAGAAGCAAGGTTTTTAGATCTCTAACTTAATTTCGGGACTTTGCATTATGCTTGTGAGATTGATCTCTGGTGTTACACTAATTCTGGATTATTCATTTTGATGGTTGAGCAGTACTCCATCTCACGAACATGTCCTCATTTATCTGTTTTCCTACTCAAGAACAATTCGTTTTTTCTCAGTTTTGTGCGTGTGTGATTTTCCGAGGTGTTACTGATTCCCCTCCAAAATGCTAGCAGATTTCCACATCCACACACAGTGAATGGGAGGGCCTGGCACCACCCAGGACCTCATGCCCCTAGGCTGTGGTGTCTTGGTTATTCTGCTATGCCGCGAATTTTCAAAGTATCTTCTTCCCGGCTCTGAAAAGACATTTTTGGTTTATTATTGTCCCATGTCCCTACCCTGCCAAAGTAGCCAAGAAAACTAGAGGGGATCTCTCAGGAATGGCTTTTCACTCAGAGCTTCTAGATTTTGTGTTTAAAGCCATAAATCAGAAACAGCATCAGCAGAGAAAAACGTCAAGGCATAGTAAGTAGGATATAAAAGGGGAGGGTGACTATGTAAACCCAGAGGGCCATTTTCTGTTTACACTTATCTGGGGGTCCACCTCAGCCAGACTACTTGCCTTGAACACCGTGGAGCAATCATGGGAGCCCAGTGAAGGGCCATGGAAGGGAGAGGGTATGCAAAGGTTGCAACTGAAGGGAAGGCAATGACGTGCCCTCTTCCTTCAGTGCCTGTTCCTGCTGTCGAGGCCCTGAAGAGACAACACGAGCTTCCACGGACAGGAAGGATTTACTTTGAATAAGGGTTCACAAATACTGGGATAATGAACTGCAGAATACTGGGCAAACCCCTTATTTGAGCTCCCCCCCCCTTTTCTTTTCTTAAAAAGATTTATTTAGTTAGTTTAGAAAGAGAGAGACTCTCAAGCAGACTCCCCACTGAGCATGGAGCCCACTGCAGGGCTTGACTCGGGGCTCCATCCCACAACCCAGAGATGGTGACCTGAGTTGAGATCAAGAGTTAGACGCTTAGCCGACTGAGCCACCCAGGCGCCCCACCGAGCTTCTGAAGCTAGGATAAACATCTTTTGTTTTCTGTTTGTTTGTTTCCCTCCTCCTCCGAGCCTCAAACAGGTGTCTAACTGGAGACCTATCAGAGTAACGGGCGCCACTTTGGACTTCCACTCTCCCATGCATTCCTTCATAAAGGTGCCTTTGTGATTAAGCAGACTCTTTATGCATGATTCTTTTTCAACACAGGACAAAAATCTTAACTTCAGCAAGGGACAAGATGCAGTAAGTTCAGAGAGGAGGCCGGACAGCCTCTTGGAGCATCTTCTAGAGTTAGAATTCCATGGAGTAATTGAGCTTTCAAGAAAATGTCTACCTCAGCCAGCACCCAAGATGAATTCTCAGCTCTCTTCTTTTTGCAGCTCAAGTAAGTCATAACCAGTGACTGTAAGAAGTCAGGTCGTATCTGGACTACTGCATCCTGGTAGGCATGTAAGGCTTCAGGGAGAAGGTGCTAGAGTAAGGTTCTGTCTGATGAATGGGTGCTTGTCCCCAGAGAAAAGGGGAGAAAGATGGGGAGAAAGCACTCCAGGGAGCATGAACACCATTTAAGGGGTCCTCTAGGAGGTCCCAGGCCTAGTTACCCTAACTTCCCTTAATTTAAAAGGATGACTTCTATACTTTTGTTTCTGAACAAATGAGTGCTATTTAATAAAAATCCTAATCACCAAAAGTAAAATTATTCTTCCCTTTGTTTTTCAGTACCATCTGAGAATAGGGGACATGGTTTGGTTTGTGGGTTTTCCCACTCAATGACGGGTGGGCAGGAAACATTGAAGAACAGTGGACAGGGCAACACTGTCCAAAGTGTGTTTTGTGGGAGCTCAGGAGTATGGATTTGAGGCCAGGGCTGGACTTGAACCCTTGCTCACTCGCTCGCCAGCCTCATGTCTTGGTCACTGCTCTGTGCCTCAGTTTCTTGTACTTAGAAGGTTGTTGTGAGGACTATAGGAATTATAACCAGCAAAGCACTTAGAACGGAGACCGGCACATAGTATGTTTCATTAAAACATGAGATACCATTAGTATTATTTGAAAAAAGGGTGCTGTGGTCAAAATAAAGGTAGGATGGTGTATTCAACCATTCTTTACTGTAGGATTTCCAAGACCCTTCTATAGGCCACTGTGCTCTGGGAGTCTCCAAAGGGAGATTCCATGTATAGTGCTGCCCAGAGTAATTTCATCATGGAGTTCTTTTCTTGGGGGGAGATGTATGAGAATCGTGCTCCATGTATCAACACACTTTTGGATGTGCTGTTCCAGCAGACAGAACAAGAAAACCAGAAACTAGCACAGGCCAAGGGGAGAGCCAGCTGTTTTCAGTCGACCCTGGTCACCACTTTGCTCAGCCAGCCTGGCCACCAGCTCTGGGGCTGGTTCCCTCGGGCCTCGGGCACTCTTCCTCTGCCAGCCTACGTCAGTTAAACCTACCAGAACAGAGCCAGTGTTTTACCATTGAGATGACTTTTAGGAAGGCCAGGAAATGTTTTGGGAGGCCAATCAATAGGCCAGCATTTTGTCTGCCTGCCAGAGTATCAACCCTCCCATGCCTCTAGGTTGAAGCAAAATGTTACACAGTTGCTATTAAGATCCAACCCGAGTTCCGCCTCTGCCACCTCCCAGCTGGGTGACCTTGGACACACAGAAGATTAAAAAATAGCCTGCTTCCTGGGCTGTCATAAGCACCAAATGAGATCATGCCAGTGAAGAACCATGCCGGTGCACAGTAAAACGTCGGTAAACGAGCCCTGCTGTCCCCACCAGAATGTTCTCAGACTACTTTCATTAGTATCCAACCCAACAATCTCTTACTATTCCTTTTTCCACATTACATTGCAACTGCAGCCAGGGTTCTTTTAACTTTCCCTGTTAACTTTAAACACCTCAAAAGCAAGAGCCAAATCTCTATCATTTTCCCTCTTTAACCAGGAATTTCTAATCCAAGACAACTATGAACTCTCACTAGAAACCCACTGACCATGTGACCTACTGGGTGGGTCCATGAGATGACTTGGAGATGCACGTGGGCCTCTGCCATGAGAGGCCCGGGCCTGCACTTGACACCCATGGAACCGGCTGCTCACCCAGGAGTCCCGTGCTCAAGGCCAGGCAGGCACCCTGCGTCTTCCCCTGCTGGTCCCACTTACCCACAATGGAGAGGATGACTACCACGAAGTCAAAGATGTTCCAGCCAATGGTGAAGTAGTAGTGCCTCAAGGCAAACATTTTGAGCACACACTCACAGGTGAAGAAGATGACAAAGACCAGGTTAATCCAGTAGAGAATGTTTTCCATCTGCTTGCTCTGCGTATCTGTCTCCACCATCATGGTCACCATGTTAAGGCAGATGAGCATCATGATAACGATATCAAAGGCTTGTTGAGTGACAAAGTCAAAGATGATGCCTTGGATTTTGTTCTAGGGGCGGGAGGGGGAGGAAAGACATGAGAGCATTCATGAGAGCCTCCCCGAATGGACCATGGAAGCTGCCATCACCTCTCTTTTCTGCAACCCTGGCCAGCTCTTTGCTGCTGCTCTAGCAGGGTGTCAGGCGCAGGGGCAGACCCCGATGACACCCAGTATTCTCTTCCCCAAGGCTTTCTAACGCTGCCCCTATTCTCTTTTGCGTCTATGCCATCACATGCTTCTGGAGGGCTTCCTGCCTTGCCAATTGCCCCTGTTCAGCCTCATTTGCTGGCCATGTCTGCCCTGATCTTGTCTCTTTTCTCTCTACACTGTCTCCCTAGGAGAGTTCACCTATTCCTACTGTGTACATGGTGTCTGTGTCCTTCAGTTTCTCAAGTTCTTTCCTCTGAATTCCTATGTTGTTTTCTCAGCAAGCATCTCTTCCTTGTTGACTCATAAGCATCTCTAACCTAACAAGTCCTCCTGCCTCTCACCCAACCCGCTCCTCTCCCATCTCTATCATCCACCCAGTCTCCAAACCAGACCCTTAAGGGTCACCCTTGTCACTTTCCTCTCCCTTGTCCCCCCACCGCATACTCTGCAGGTCCGACTGATTTTTCTGAATTCATCCACTTCATCCTGCTTCTGTTGGCACCACACTAGCCCAAGCACCACCATCTTCTATCTGGACTTCTGGGAGAGTCTCCCAGCCGGTGTCCTGCCACCTCTCTCGCCTGCCTCCAGCATAGTCTCCAGAGTAGCAAGTGTGATTATTTAAAAACATAAATGGATCCTATCTTGCTTCTACTTAAAACCTTTCAACAGTTTCTCATTGGGCTTGCAACAAAGTTCATGTTGCTAGCCTGATTTAGAGATGCCTCGCACAGTCTAATCTGGCTCACCTCATGCCCTTTCTTCTAACCGGTCACCACCTGGCCACACGGATGCTTCCTGCTCTTACAGCCAGCACTCCTGGCTCCTTCTCATCTACCCAAGTAGACTCTTCCTAGTGGGGCTTTCTCGGTCTACTTTACGGAAGTGGATCCCCTGTCCCAAGCTCCCCATTCTCTGTCAGGACCGCTGGTTGTTTTTTCCTCACAACACTACACATTGTATAGTGGCGGTTTAATCGTTTATTACCTAAATCCCCCCTGTATTAAAAACAACCTTGACAACAGTGTCTGAATTGTGTCTGTCACTTTGGGCCTAGTGCCTGGAACTTAGTAGGAGACATATAACTATTTGCTGAATGAGTGCTGATCACTCTTTATTAATGTCTCCTGCCACAGGACGTTTTTATATTTTAGAGCAGAAGAAAATACAGAAAATACATGTAGGTTCCTGTGTGCAAAGGACTGAAGAGAGCTTCAGAAATGTTAACCTTCTCCATTCTCAGTCTCATTGCCATCACAAAATGGAAGCTCTAATATCAAACAAATACCAAAAACATTCTCTTTCTTAAGATCTCTGATTTTTTTTTTTTTTAAAGAACCTAGGAACTCAAGCTGGTGCTTACTTTGAGGATCACTTTCACTTACTGGTTTCCCAACTGTTCGGTGGGGCCTGTGGGCTTCCTTCCCCTCAGAAGTGGGGGGGGGGGGGGGGGGTATGCCAGGCCCAGAGGGTGGCACTAAGTAGGGAAAATGCGTAGGGACTCCCACCCTTGGTTCAAAGTAGCTCTACTTTTATTTCTACAAATTAGACTGCCAGGTGAGCTTTAAAGAGTTGTGCTGTTTTTAAATAAAAAGGTACTTTAAATGAAAGTTACAGAAGATGGAACTTTGAGCCTGGGGGTGGTGTCCCACTCTGCTGGGTACATGGCTTCAGAAGCAGAGCATGTCCTCTGACGTTAGAGGGCAGGCACCAACCAAAGGGCAAAGCAAGATCCTAGTACCCAAATCTGTTTGACAAAAGGTTCAGTTCAAGACTGAAAATCAGGACATTACACTCCTAGTTTTACCCTCTTCTTCTCCCACAAATAGTCAGGGTACTATCTTGTCTTGCAAAGACTTACTTGCTGGGCAGAGAGCTGAGAAGATAGTGGTCACATCCTACCTTGCAGTGGGAGAAAGAGACCAGCTTTCATTTTCACTTTCCTTTGTCAATTTTTAGCAGTCTCTTAAAACATCTTTCTTCCATCGCTAGAGCCTATCTGATTATAACAGGCTGATTCTCTGCTGCAGCCCAAGGAAGTCTCAGAGGAAAGGTCAAGCACAAATATAAAAGCCATCCCCTACCTTAGTCCCTGTTCTGCTGTCTTCCCCAGATCCTCTGAATGGGCTGGCTGGGAGAGGATCAGAGGACACAGGCAGCCCGTCACTTACCCCTTTCTTTACTTGGCAATAATCCTACCAGTGTATTTGCCATTTGGGGTCTCACTCTGCCCTCAGCCAGCACTCACCAGGGGGCGGGGAATGGGTTTCTGTGGTTTCTTTGAGCCCAGCTTTTTCATGGCATTATAGTACTTCTTCTGTTCTTCTGTCATGAAAATGTCCTGACCTCCAAAGTAAAGGAAGAAAGAAAAGAACAAGCAATTACAATAAGCTCTCACGCGCTGTGGTTTGGACCTAAGATTCGACTCTAAGAGCTGAGAGGGGCCTGACCCCCTGACCTTTCCAGAGGTCAGTTAAGCTAATAGTTGGCTCATAATGAGGTATACCTAGGACAACTATTCTAATTCAAAGAAACACCAGCCTTCATCCTCAGCTTGGAATTCCTGAGGTCTGCCAGTGGCTAGGCATGAAGGAAATGGACTGCCCCACTGAGGGCCCTCAGGGAAGGACACACTTGAGAGCTGTGATACTGAAGATAGTTGAATCTTCCTGGTTCACACATTTTTTGGGGAACTGCTTTCCATGACAGAAGTCTAAAGAAGAACATTTTAAAATGAAAGGATTTTCAGGTCCTGGTTATTGGCCCATTTATTTCCAACAATATTAAAAATTCAGAAATCCTGGTGTAAGAAAACAACACGGGGAGGTCCTTGACACAGATGCGACTTTTACAATGGATGACGAGAGTGAGTGCTTCAGTTTGTTTAGGAAAAATTGTTAACTACCTGGAACAAGGCAGGAAGTGAACTTTCCAAGGATGGTCTCTCAAATCCTAGTTTGCTAGTGGTGCCCAGGGATTCCCATTGGTCATGACAAGTCTAGACACTTTCTACTTCTTGCTACAGTTACTCAGCTGATGCTGTCCTTTTCACCCCTATCACTAGGACCTCTCTGACCTGCCTCCCACTGGCGGGAAGCCACACCCAGCAAAGACCTCAAGAATTGCCAGTACATTAGGTATTAGGACATTGTTAGTTTGGCCTAGGAAATGTGGTAAAGCACACACTGTGCAATCCAGCCCCCCCCACCTCCGAAAGAGTTGATGGCACTAATGTATAGTGGGGCCAAGGCCACAGGGAGGTGATAATAAGGATTTTAGAGAAAGAGAGGCATTTTCTTTCTAGAGATAGGGACAGGAGTGTCTCTCATCTGCGTTGAGCTCTGGCCGCTGGCGGTGAGGGGAGGAAACCTATCTTTTTCTTTTGTTGATTGAAGTTATCAATGATGACACCAATGAACAAGTTCAGGGTGAAGAAGGAGCCGAAGATGATGAAGATGACAAAGTAGATGTACATGTAGATGTTGTCCTCATACTTAGGCTGCTCGTCGGGCTGTCAAAAAGGATCAGAGAGGAAAGAAGAGAATCAGCTCCTGGGGGTGTGGGTGGGGGTGGGATGAGGCCGTGATCTGACATGCCATTGCCACCAGCCATAACCACCCCCTGGAGCTGTTGCACAAACTGGGCGGAGGGCGCGCTACTTTCTGTCTGCTTGGGTCCTCCCCCAGGTCGGTAGGCAGCCCCCGCCCCACCGCCACGTAGACTATGCAAATGGAGAGTGGAGACTATGGTGGAGACTATGCAAATGATGAGGCCAGGGGAGGGGAGGTAGGGCAGCTAGGAGCCACTCTTGGGTCAGCACAAAGAAGAGGTGGCTCCTCTGGGGCCAGGTCAAAACCAACAGCCTGATCATCCAGAGCCGGTGTAAAAACGTGATGACTGAGAGGAGGAAAATGAGCTATAATCAATCAAACCAGCAATATGTGTCCTAACCCGCTCTTTCGCCGCCATGCTGCTTGCTTTCTAGCCTTCTCTCAAGGTTGTGGTTTCGCCAGGTGTATCCTTACCTTTCGGGAATCTACAGCTGCATACATGATGTCCATCCAGCCTTTGAAGGTTGCCTGGCAAACAGAGTCAGTCATTAGACTGTGCCTGTTGGGGGCAGGGGGTGGGAGTCTAGGCAGGGGTCACAGAGGCCAGGCTGGGGTTGGGTGCGAACACAGGACTGAGTTTGGGTGCGGTCTCATATGGACCTAGAATTTTGTGTTAGTTAACACAGGTCCTGAGGGGGGCTTTGTCTAAGTCCCTGGAAATAACATCAAAGTTTGGCAGAGAAACATGTTGACAATGGTAGCTGGATCAATACTCTCATAAAAGGTCTTTAAAACGGGCCTGAGAAGGTTGCCCGATGCTCGGGCAAACTTGTATTTATGAACGAGTGCCAGGAGTCTACTGAGGCTACCAAGAACGTAACCGACCACCCAGGAGTCATTTTTTACCATGGTGTTAAATAAGCAATGGGGGTCTGAACATTTCTAAATCGCAGTTAAAAAAAAAACAAAACAAAACCAAAAACACAAGGCCACAAGGCCAGAACTTTCCCCATCCTAAGATTGCCTACAGCAATGGCAATCCCGCCTTCGTCCCAGGCAGCCCTTCCTAACCGCACTGTCTTTCCATCTACTAGACCTCTGATTTTGGAAACAAAGAGTGGTTAGCAATTCAGTGTTCTCCGTTTTCTTTTTGTCCCATTTGTTTTATTTATTCAACCAGATTCAAAATTCTTTCAGGGCAGGGGTGGTTCTTTATATGTCAGATGGCCCTAGTAGTGCCAAGCACTGCACCTTGTGCGCAAGGTGGGGACTCTGTGAATACAGTGTCTAACTGGCTGATTGATGTGTATTAGTCTCCTGGAGGTGCTCCGAATCAGATTCAACTTGCAGGTCCCATTTTCTCCAACTGGGATAAAACAACAAAAGACTCCGGAGGAGGATAAAGCTCATTCTATCAACATTGCCATCTACTAGCTAACAGTGCTAGCTAACAGTAAGTGCTTACTATCTGTAAGGTCAAGTTGAGAGCTTCACCTGCATTATGGCATTCAGTCCTCCCAAGGACTATATGATGCAGGCACGGTTGTATTAGTAACAAAAATACCTAATAGCAAAATACCATTAATCAAGCACTGCTGTGTGCCAGGCATTGTTCTAAGAAATTTAAAAAAATTATTAGGACTCCTCTTAGCAACAGTGCAAAGTATTATCACCAACATTTAACAGATGAAGAAACACATGTGGGGAAGTTGAGTCATTTGTCCAAGGTTATATATGCAATAAACATCGCAGTACGGCTCAAACCTACATCTGTCTGACTCCAAAGCCTAGGAGCTTTCATTGCATCCTACTGTCTTGTCAAACATTCCAAAAAATTGGTGAGAGTCAAAGAGAAAACTAGACATGATGGTATGCTACATAATTAAAATAAATCCTTTCTTACTGTGACAAGTTAATTTGAGAACTTTCTCTGGGTTGGGCTGACATGAATGGCAGCATCCTAGCACCTGCCATATTCTTCTCTTTAGTTAACTTAGTGTGGCTCTTATATAGGATTATTCTGCTAAATCAGAATTCCCATTCTGTTGTTGTGGTTGGTGTCTATGCACTTACCTTCTTCTCCCCACCCCCGTTCTCTTTAAATACAAACTTTGCCCCGGAGAGAGACGGTGATCTCTCTGCAACTTTCTTACGCTGCAGGAATCTATTTGTTGCTGAGCAGCTCAGAACTCTGCCCTGAGCATTGGGAGAGTCCCCCCACCCCCCCTTGAGTGAGGTCTTGGAGAATTCAGGAATTCTCAGGAAAGGTGTCTCCCTGGAGCTGGATTGGGAAAGGACATTGTTCTCTGTGGCCTATAAGGAGTAACCCTGATTCTGGAGATAGGAATGAGAAGGAACCAAATGTGATTTCGCCAGCTGTCGGAATTCCCCAGGACTGGCAAAAACGGCAACGCTTACCACTTGAAGAAGTGCCAGGTAGCCTGCACCGACGTTGTCAAAGTTGATCTTCACATTCTTCCACCTGATCTCTGTGTTGTTCCCCTCCATGAGCTTTTCGCACTCAGTTTTATTGTTGACATCTTCAATTTCAAATCGGATTTCAGAGGTCTCATTAAAGCAGTAGTGGTACTTCCCCGCAAAGAGGTTAACTCCCATGATGCTGAAAATCAGCCAGAAGATGAGACACACCAGCAGCACATTCATGATGGAGGGGATGGCGCCCACCAAGGCATTCACCACCACCTGCATTGGAAGGGGGAGGTTGCTGAGTGTTGGAAGTACGGGCAAGCATACTCTTCTGATTTCCAGGAGGGGAATGATACTGTGTGGCTTGTTCTGACTACAAAAACGTTATGCCCCCTTTGGAATTAGAGTAGCTGGATGCATCCACAAGTAGGACCAGCATTTTCTAAATCTCTAAAGAATATTTTGAGGAATACTAGTAAATTCCTTAATATTTATTTCATCTAACATGAATTTCCCTGCCCCAATTGACCTAGGTCTTCTCCCCCACAGGCTCCAACCTGGGACTGAAAAAATTATTTAGTCTTGTTTCCCTCCTTGCCAGCTCATAAAACATGCCCCCAGTGGGGGAAATCTGATTTCAAGCTCACCAGTTGCCTATCAACAGACATTCCCCCCTCTGCAAAACAAGGTAGGATTGTTCAAAATCACAGAGAACTACCGTTTGGGGTTAGCAGGGAATCAGTCAATGGTACACAAAGTCTCTTTTATGCAAGGCCAGTTATCTTATTTCAGGCAATAGCTGAGCATGCATATTTTGCAGGCTCAAGAGAAAAAAAAGCTATATTCCCTCTACCAAACAGAATAAAATAAAATCTGAACAGATGTATTTTTCACTCAAGGTTCATTATTCTTCTTCAGCCTTTTTTTTTTTTTTTTTTTTTCCCTCTCTCCTGACTTTGTAGGCTTCTGAATGTAAGAGTCGTCCCTGTTTGGCTAATGCTGACTGATGTCAATCCAGGGCTGGACTCGACTCTTCACAATGTATTAGGAATAGGAATGCCTTATGTTTTCTGGAAAGTTCTGGGTTATATCACTGGTCTTGAAACCCCCAAACCGGCATATTGTTAAAAATCACTGACTGTAGGTAAGCTTGGGAATGGAAAAAAAAAAAAAAAAGCAAAGGTAAAAATTCAGGAATCAAACTTTCTGGGTTGTTTTTAATTTCCATTTTGATTCACACTATAGGTGAGAGTAGCTAGACAACACTTCTACTGTGGTGGCAATTTTCCGTAGAGGAGTTCAAAGGGCTTACAAAAATAGCATTTAGGGGCGCGGTGGCGGGGTCGGCACAGAAAATGAGGCTGGTGTTCATTCTGCCCTGATCCTCACTTGCTGTTGTCTTAAGTGGGACTGCTAAGGCCCAGAAAGGTAACCCTATAACGTGGGAAGACTGTGTCTTCCTTTCTCTAATATCCTAGGAAAATTAACATGGAGTTAAAAATAAAAACCATGGATGTAAACGCAGCTTTCTAATGTCTTGTTAGAGGAGGTGAGAAGTATCACCATGCTCCCGCGTCAGTTTTTCAGTGCGGAGAAGAGGCGGGACACACACTGCCATATGCACAGCGTCCAAAGGGCCCACAGGGCTGTGCTGTGGGAGGAGCGCCAGGGGGCGGCTCTGGGCTCTGTTTGAGCCTGACTTGGGGTCGAGTTTTCCTTATCTTCTGTTCTGGCCTTACACTGCAATGTCACTGGCGGGAAAACGGGGCTGAGAAGAGCTGTTCTGTCCTATATAAAAAAGGCAATGATATTCTGCGAAGGAGTCATTCTTTAGATTAAAATATTAGTTTTGTGTTTCCCCAATTCATATATGAAGGCCTTTAGATTGAGAGGTAGTTATTTCTTAATTCTTAGACCAAGAAATCTCTTCTAGATTTAATAGCTCTGTCTTTGGTGTAAATGATTATCCTTCAACTGTTCATTACTTTGATGGAGGAAAGCCGGAATATCTGAAATCTGGAAAATCCTCCATGTTATTTTGGAGAATGATTGATTAATTGATTGATTGATTGACTGATTGACTGATGTTACCAAATGTGTCCAGTGATCAGATTTGAATTTTACCTCCTCATTCTACAGTTGCTCACCCTTTGGTGGAGCACCAGAAAGCAATGAAATGTGCAAAAGAACAGGCAAAAGGAGGATGATCCACAAATGGAATAATCATTTCTCCGATGATAAGAGAGTAGATTACCAAGATTCAAAAGATCCAGTCCATGTGACAGCATTTTGTAGCAGAGCTTAGGGGAGAGATCATGACCTTCTATTAGACCATCACAGGTGTGCAATGGGGAAGTAGGCCCCAAAAGATCTGAAACCTAGAAATGTTTCTTTTTATCTCAGTTCAGTTCCTCCTCTGGGAACTCTTCTGATTATTTTAGTCCAGTATAACCTGTCCTGGATAGGGTTACGTGTTACAGTTTAATACGGGGTAATATTTATAGCAGGGAAGAATAATTAGTTAATTAACTAAGTGACCTCTTCCTACTTTTATACGTGTAGAGCTGATCGAAAGAATCAATACATGGAAGTATTTACGGGCCTTGCTCTCTGATATGTAGAACATGAAAATCCTATAAAATCCAATGTCCTTATATGATGTAAATGCTCTTCTGATTAATTATAATCAAAGAAAAACTTCTTAGCTTAGCTTTATGAATAGAACAGTAAACACCTCATGAAATTTACTAATAATTCTTCCTGGCTGTAGACACTAGCTAATAATGAAAATTGTTTAACTGTGCTCCATATATAATCATCATTGGGCTGACATTCTCAGCAACCAAAGGGCAAAAACCGTGCTTTCTTGAACTCTCACACCATAGGTAGTGCAAATGGTAATTCAAGTTTCCACAGGCAATCACTTCATGAATTGGTCCCTAATAATTCTCAAGTTATTCTACATTGCTTTTAGTTATGATAAAATTCATTGTTCAAAACTAGGTATAGAAATATTACTCAAAGCTTGGGTCTAGCAATCTACAAAATTATTTTTTTTCAATGGACATTTATACTTAACGATTGCTTCAAATCACTTAGCTGATGGAAAAATTCCAATGGATATGAATTCTTAGAGTATTGTCTTCTCATAATGTCTAGAACGCTACTGTTCATTAAATGCTATAAAATCTGTCAAATAGCTTTTAATATCTGGCAGAGGGAACATGGCTTTAATGGACAACTATGTACTAACAATCAACAAAAAGGCATGCATGTTTCATAGCATTATATACCCTCAAAAATTTAAAAGCACAGCAAAATCTTTAAATGAAGATTACTATGGAGGAGAGAAAAGCAAAGAACTACATTAAGTGTTCCTTTGCCAATAATTGCATGAGTGCTTTAATTTTCCGGTGTTTGGTTTGAGGAAGGAGAGGAAGAACTGAAGTCAGTGTCCCAGGACAGGCTAGGGCTGGATGTTCCCTCCCAAACGGAGGTCTGAGCCTACCACTGGAGCAGCACAGTGACAGTCGAGCCCACCTGCATTGATGGTCTTCAGTTTGTGAAGGGTTCCTAGCTAGCGGTTTTCTAAGGGTATGCGCTGGGTGTTGGTGTACATAAGAATCCAAACCACAAAATAGAAAGCATATGGCCCCAGAGAAAAGTAACCTTGAAATAAAATGTCTGTACCTAATGCTCTTTATCGCTGGGAAGCTGACTGTTAGCTCAGGCGGATTCAATCTTTCCTTCCAGCAGCTATGCTTTCAGGGAGGGGCTGGGAAGCAGCCGCGCAGGACAGGATCCTTAGCCCTCTCCTCTGCCCAGCCAGGAGCGGTCAGTGCTGTCGGCTGACCAGAGACGACCAAACCAAGGGCCACTCCTCTACCAGAGCTTCCCTTCCTGAACACTCATTGTTCCAAATTCTGGCTTTTGGTTCAAACTGGTTTTTCCTCACGTTATTTTTGTTGGAAAAAACCTCGATTTGGAGGTTTCACTTCCTCATGCTTTTTCAAGGAAACGTTTATGCCTCTCTGCTCTGATCACCGCTTCTGGACCTCTGGGTCCCTGAGCTACTTGCAGGTTGGCAACCAGAAGTTTTGGGGAATGGAATTGGTGAGCCCAAGGGAAGGTGAGGAAAGGGGGTGGGGCTGGAGGGAAGAGGTGTGGCCACCCTAAGTGCCCCTGAGTCCAGGGGAGGCAAATAACCTCGGCATGAACAAACCAGCCCTGGCTGGTTACCAAGGACGACTTCCGCCAGGGGCAGGGACTGGCAGTAACAAGACTGCCGGTGAGAAAGGTAGAGCAAGCGTCAGCTGGGTGTTTTTTCTTGGGCTTTCTTCAGGTACTACCAGTCTGGCTTTAGGAGGTTCGGGATCACCCCCGAGGGGTGGAGAGGAGCACTGGCTATGGAGGCGGCTACAGTGTGCTCAGTACTGTCTCCACCAGCCTTCTTTTACTCTTCAGTTTCAGTCACCAACATAGGTGATCAACGCTCTAAACAGAACTGATAGGATTTAGGAAAAAAGTTTCACTAGCCCTTTCTGAAAAAGGGAGAGCACAGTAATCCCATGTCTAATGACCCGGAGCACGGAGTCGTCCGTGGGATACTCTCTCTCCCTCAGTCTAGCCTGTGCCTTACAGTGACCTCCCTGCACTTGTTTCAACATCTCTCTGATCTCTGGGAGAAAGACTTAGACTCCCAAGTTTTGCTTTGTTTTTTTTTTTTTTTTTTTTAAATTGAAAGCAGTCTGGGCTGCCGTGGACCTGACTTTCCTGCAGACGGTTTCGCGTGGGTTGCAGAAAGGTGATATGCAGTAAACCAAACCGTGACTGTGCTACAGCAGAGACGCAACTGGTGGCGAAAAGCATTTGTCTGAAGAAACTAACAGAACACAATTCCCGAGGCGCAGTGAAGTTTTCACCTTCCTGTCCAACTGGGGGTTGTTTGTGGAACAGTGCCCAGGGACCACAGATGAGGTATGGATGAAGCAGCACTGTCCTGGTACCTAGTTCCTCCACTCAGTCTTGCTTCCTGGGGGCCACTGTAACCATTTAATTTTCATTCCTACATTCTGATATTTGCACATTTAAAAACGTATCCTCGGTTTGCTCTCCTGCATGTATTCAACATCTGAATGGAAATGAGTTTTCTTGGTCTCGTTAAGTATAACAGACCTCTCTGTTACCACAGGACAACTATTACCACTAAAAGACAGTTGCCCACATGATTTTAGGAAATTGACTTTTTAGCATGTGTGTGTGTGCACACGCACATGCACACACATGCACATTTTTTTTTTTAACCAACAGAGACAGCAAAAGGGCACCAAAAGAGGGAGCCTCGTGTTTCTAAGTTGGCAAGGTGACAGCACCTTGCCCTGTTTGGATCTGGGTGGAGTATCACCAAAGCAGGAATAGCAGGGGTCAGGAAATTTCAGAACCAGCGGAGAAGTCATCTGCGTCATACCTGATTGTTATTTGCGGTGTCAGGATAGGGAACCATACAGCGTGGGCAGAGGGGTAGGGGGTGAGGAGGAAAGCTTTGCTATCAGACAGAGGCTGCCAGTCCTTATGGGACTGGGCTGAGAACAACAAGGTGCAATAAGAGGAATCAGAATAGAAAGAAAAGCATTTCTTTTCCCAGGGCCATGCCAAATTCTGCTCCATCCCCAATTCCAGGCCTGCCATCATGTCTTCTAGCCCCTTCTCTGCTGCATTCTCAGTGACGGCACGGCCACAGCCCCCCTGGCCGATGCCCTACCCGGCACTAGCCCTGCCTGCGGTCTCTGCTTTTCAGTGGGGCCGCGGGTTACAATTCCCCTTCTTTGCACCTGGTGATTCTCCCTATTAAATCAACAGCCCAGAAAGCCGCCCCGAGTGCTACAGGTAAGCCAGGCCAAATGAGAATAGCCAGCGTTAACATGTTCTGCGATGGCACGCTGTTGGGGCGGGGCCCATATTAATGTGATGAGGCAGCTTGATGCGACCCCCTCGCACAGGGCAGGTGCGGGGAGAGAGTGGAGGATCAAATCAGCAGCTGCATCACAGATCGTGTCTGAATGATCTTCCCACCGTGTGATCAGTTCTAGCATGCGTAAACAGTTTCCATCGGCATGCAGAAGGATCAGCTGCTCTTAGTATCTTACCCTCATCCCTTCAAATCGTGATAAGGCTCTTAAGGGTCTCAAAGCTCTTAGGGTCCTAAGGGACTTTATGGCACCTAGTTCCGAGTAGCCCAGGGCATTAGCTATAAGGCTGACTAAAGAGACCTACACGGAAACAGAAGAGAAAAACAAAAACAAAAAAAGGAAACAAAGCAAAACAAAGAAAAACAAGAAAAGAGGTTCCAGAGTGTTAGAATAAAGCCCCTAGCACTGATTACACAGATTGGGCCCCCCAGGGAGAGAGAGTGGGTAACACCAGCTGCCTACTTCAACTTGGACTCAAACGACCTGAAAGGAAAGGAGGTTGAGAGGCAGAAGAAAAAACACAAGGGGGAGGAGAAAATCGAGAGGAGGCGGTAGAACATACATACAGGTTGGCAAAGGGAGGAGGCTGAAGGGAGAGGGGGAATGAGGACGTTCCAGTGGAAGGAGAGGAGCCTGAACAGATGACAAAAACCTTACCCTCGCCCTTTACAGCCTCTGCAGCTCCCAGAAGTTGCCATTAAATTAAGCCAGACAAATTTAATGGTACCTATGGAAAAGAATACAGATAAATACACACACTCCACACAAGCCGCCCCCTCCTCAGCTCATTCACCATGGATTTCCAACAGGGACAAGCTCTCTTGCTCCTGGTTGACAAGAAACCATTTGCTGGAGAACGTGATGAGTTACTACGTCAACAAAGGAAACATATCCAGTAAGCGCCACAGCTGGCTTTGCCATTCCCAAGAAGGCAAGAACCAAAGGAAGCAATTTCTAGACAGACTTTTGGCTCTACGAGAACTCCCTTAAGCAAGTCTTCCGTCTCTCACTTTCAACTATAATAATCCTTCCGTCTCTGAACTACAACCAGACGCCTTCATGAGAACTTGGGTGGGCCTGAAAACTGAACCTGTACTTCTCCTTATCATCCCCATTCTTTCTCTCCAGAAACAGCTCAGAATGAACTGGCCTCAGATCTGTTCTTTCCTGGACCATCTTCTACTCTCATCGTTAGAAAAACAGCTGGAAGGATAAACTTAGAGCAATTTAAAAAATTTTAGTCACAGATGAGGACACTGAGCCCCCTACACAAGACTCTGCTGGGTGTCACACTGGCAGTTCTGGAGCCAGAAATAGAGACCCTGGAAACTCCTGGTTTCCAGGCAAGAGCTCCTTCTTCCACAGACAGGTCACATCCCCGACTGGCAGGTAAAATGATGATATCCCAAGAGAGGGTTATCGGTATCAGAACAATCTGGAGTCGACTGTATCACCCTGCTGGGGAGAAGCCTGCAGGTCTCCAGGCCTGGAGTCATGATGGTTAAATGCCTTCCTGTCCTTCCATAGCCAAACTCACTTTGTCCTACCAGAGCTTCCAGAGCAGTTCCCATGTGGTCCCATAACATCGGATGTCGACTATACCGGGAGTTGCCTGGGCCTGACCGGAGAGGCCTGACTGGAGTTCCCACCCAGGGAACTACCTTTAGCCAATTGAATCCTGACAGTCTGGGCTCTGGGTTTCTTGGAGCAGTCTTTCCTGTGTACTGCACAGCAAATTCTGGGATAGGTTGGGATATTCCCATAGATCATTCTTAAATTCCCTCTACTGGAAAGTGGTGGTTACAGATCTGCTTGGTCTACATTGATATTTTAAAGCAAATTTAGAGGAGAAAAATGGAAACAATCTACAACTCAGTTTCCTTTGCTATTTTTTTATCTCTAGCTGAGGGCTTTAATTCTTTGAGTCTATATCTCGGAACTGTATGAAACATTTTTAAAAATAAGTTCTTTTCTTTTTATAATGAAGCAGGAGGACTGGCAGGAGGCAGAAGTGGAATGTCCGTGACCTAGTGAGAGAAAGGGATGAGCATGCTCAAGGATTTCAATTTTTTTTCAAGGATTTCAATTTTTAAAAGGGGTGTGAACCTTTGTCTATGCATGGACTCAAAATCCATCAGTGTAGGTATCTTCCCTGGAGTCCTAGGCAGTATCCCAAACAGATCTGGAATTAAAGCCTGCCCGATTTACTCCTGTTCCTTGAAGGGTACATGCTTCAGAGTTCATTTTTTGTCTAAAACAAGGGTCTCAAAAGCTTTATGTGGAAACAGTAGCACCAACCAATCATTTCCCCTCCATTCATCATTCTCAGTTAAGACTCTAGATGGAGGTGTGTTTTGCCTATGATTGCCAAGTGCAGTCAACTCTTAACCCCAAATAATCTACAATTGCCAGATTCTTGGTGAGACCTTAATAGGCATATCTGAAGGTGAGCCTTCCCATCTTCACCAAGTGCCTGAGATCAAATACCCCTGAGTCAACCTTACCCTGAGAAACTATGCCAGGTAAAGACGGCCAAACACTAAGCTTTGAGGGGCAATGGCACGCACGATAGGCCCCGCACGTGGCAGGGACACTCCAGCTCTTCAGGGCGGTGGGTTAGTCTGATTACAAAGAGGCCTGGGGTGGGAAGAAGGATGGAGGTACAGATGCTGCTCCCCGGCTTGGCTCTAAATGGTGCGGAGATATCATGCTGCTCAGCTGATCAATCTAGCCAAGATCTCCCAAGACAGGGTCAGCAAGGAGCCTATGTGGGCTAGTGCTTAGCAGCTGAGGGCGCTCTGATAATCCTGAGTCCCCATGCTAAACCTTCACCGGAGGTAACCAGCTCATTGCTGAAAGTCTACTTCAAGGAAAGAATCAGACCTGGAAAAAAGAAAGGAGTTGAGGGGAAGTAAAAATTCAGGGTATCAATGGCTGCAGGAATAGAAAAAAAAGGGAGACACTAGGTGACTTTTTCTAAATGATGTGAACATTTTCAAATGGAGAATGTCATGGTCTGAATTCAGGATGTGTGGTCTCTGAAAGTTCCCGTACCTGGAACTGATATGCTGGTTAACCTCTTGATATAATGGGATAAATTTCCCTGGGGGAAAGTTGACAAAACTCTTCTACAGGACAAGGTCTCCACTGCAGCCAAGGACCTGAGCAAAATGAAACATTGTCTCTGTTTGGGAATTATATGGCTTGTAACCAAAGAGAATTAACCTTGGAGGTTGTCCAGATTATCCACGTGACTGTTAAAAAATCCTCTTAGCAGCTTTAAGGGGCATCAAAGAGGAAGGAGAATCCATTAGGGAAACAAACATGGTGACGAATAACAGATTTGGACATCTAGTCACTGGGGAATGAGATAGGAAGAAGAGCTTCTCTCAGAGGTGGAGCTAGAGTGGGACCTAAAATTTACACCTGCTGGATGTTCTAGAATGCCAAGGACACGTGACAGCAAAAAACTCGGATGGTTCCAGCTGTGCAGGTGCATGTGAGCCTTCTTCCCCATTCACAACTCAGGAGTGGCTGACGGTGCAGCCGTGGGACGGACTGGGGCCTCTTCCCCCTTAGCGCACGCTGCTTTATACAGTGATTGTTTGCATACATGTCTCAGCCTTGCAGGCCCTTAGAGAGAACTGTCCACGTCTTCTGCTCTCTGTATCCCCCACAACTCCTGGCGGGAGCTTGGCACGTTGTGGGTGCTCAGTAAACATATGATACTAAATGCACTGTTGTGTCCAAGGGAAGTCAGTGGATGGGAAGGTCCCAGGAGAGCTCTGTTCCCAGAATGCTGGAGCCAGGCCCAGCAAGGGTGGAGCCAGCCCCGAGGGGTCCTGCAAGCTGGTGTGAGTGCCTAAGAAGCTGGGGCCATGCCTGCATGCCCCTCGTGGCTCACTGCACCTTCGGGGACAGCTCTACACACAGGATGGTGTTTGATTTCTATTTGTTGACTAATAACCGGTACTGAGGAGTTCTTAGGAACCACTGTCAGGACTCACGGCAATGTAAGAATCCAGCAATGCCCTCAAGCTGGGGAGGTTATGGATAAATGCTTGCTCTGTGTCTGTCTCATACTTTCAGTTTCTCTGCCACCCAGTATAAAAGGGAATGAAAATATTTGCTAAATAAATGCTAATGCACACGACCCTCAATGCTTTTATCAGCTTATTTGGGTACCAGGGGGTCCTGTTCTGTGAAAGATAGTGGGCCCAGTGTCCTTTTATTCTCTGGGCCATACCCCAAGCCCACTCCTTCATTCTTAAGAGCTCAAGCCTTCCGTCTGAAGGCACTAGTGGCGGCTGCTGACAGGAGTGCTGAAATCTGCCAGGACGGCCTCGGGTTGCCGCCCTCTGGGGCAGTACCTGTTTGGCTCACTTTAAGGGCAGGGGGTGACTTCCTCACCTCATCTGGGCATCTCCCTAAAGGCCAGGTTTCTGAAAAGGGAATGCAAATAGGAGCAGAGTGACATCTCCTGGAAGGAGTCATTAACCGTGGAAGTCAGAAGTCACAGACATTTACAGGAACAGGAATGTATTCTAGAGCAGAGACCACTGGGGCGGAGTGCTGGGCTCCCATTATCTGACAGAGGCGTCCATGCTGCTCCATTCCGGACCCCAGAGGCATGCTCTAGGTGCTTTACTATATGGCTGAGGAAACCTGCATTCTACATGTACCCAACCAGCCTCCAAACACTCCGCTTGCTTGGCACTTAGCGCTCAGCTCAGCAGGAAGTGAATTCTCCACAGGCCCTGGTCCTGAAATTCCCATTCACCCTTTCTTTCGAATGCTGATTTGGCTAGAAGAAAAGAGCTTTAGTAATTACACAGAATAAGAAGCATTCATCACAGTTAGAAAAGCCAACAAGGAACAAGGGCTTATGGGGTGAGAAACGATCACAGAAGATGCAGCTTCCACCCTGAAAAATAAGACAGGAGGTGATGGCCGGCAAGCCTTGGAGATGGTCTTGGAACCTGGAGGAGAAAAGGATTCTCGTGTGATCACCACTGTGGAAATGGCAGTGTGTGGGAAGGGGCGTGGATTTCAGTGTGAACACCACCGCTTCTGGACAGGCGGACTCATTTGGAGGAGTCTGGTGCGAAGCCTTGAGATGATGGAAGTATCCATAGGAATGGTCAGCAGAGAGAGCTTTACTGAGATCCCCCCCCACACCTGTATCCCACCTCATCCTCACCCCTCCCCTGGCACCAGAAAGAGGGCACCCTGCTGGTGCAGGGCAAGAACTGTTTGTTCCCAGCCTAATAACAAGGGGCGTTGGCACCAACGATTCCATTTCCCTCTCCTAATCTCTGACTCTTCCAAGCCAAACCACCAGAGCCCAGAGCTGGTTGGTTAACCCCTGGGGCCGATGGAGAGACTTCAGAGCTCCCTCGCCCGAAGTTAAGCTCTGAGTGCTCTGACAGGAGCTTTCCCCAAAACTACACCTACATCTTGTCCGACATCCTGGGTGCCCAGGCAACTCTGGCCATTCGAGGAAGGAACATCCCTGCTTTTGTTTCCCTACAAGAAGGGGTGGGAAGTAGAAAGCAGGACACGTACAGCCACAATGAGGAAGTCCAGCCAGCACCAGGCGTTGGTGAAGAACTTGACGAAGCCATAGGCTGTCCACTTGAGCAACATCTCCAGGATGAAGATGTAGGTGAAGACTTTGTCGGCGTATTCCAGGATGGTACGGATGGTCTTTCTCTGCTCGATGTAAATGTCCTCGAAGGCCTGGAAGAGAAGCAGTGGCTGCCCAAGGTGCCTGAAGGGAGGCAAGCAGCTTGGGAAGGCTCCACCTCTCAGCAGCTCCTCCCCCTGCAGCTGGCCTATGCTGGGCTCCCTGTCTTTCTCACCCCACCCCCCGCCACATGTGGCTTCTTAAAAAATGTTTTACTGAGATACAATCCACATAGCATACGATGCTGCTATTTCAAGTGTACAGTTCGAAAGCTTTCAGTACATTCAGACTTGTATATCCATCACACAATCAAGTTTAGAGTGTCTCCATCCACCCCCAAAAGAAACCCCACACCTTCTAGCTGCCACCCTCTGGCCTCCTTGAGTCCCATGAGTCCCAGCAACCACTATGCTATTTCCTCTCTTCCAATCTGCCCATTCTGGACATTTCATATAAAGGCAATCAGACGATACGTGGTCCCTGGTGACTGGCTTCTCTCCCTGAGCACAGAGTTTTCCAAGTTCATCCATGCTGCAGCCCGCATCAGTGCTGTGTTTCTCTTGACCGATGAAGAAGACTCCAATGTGTGGCTGTGTGGCAGTCTGTCTACCTTCCTCACTGACGGACACTTGTGTGCCTCCTTTCTGGCTATTGTGAATGGCGCTGCTACGAACATTCGTGCATCTGTTTTATGTGGACATGTCTTCCTTTCTCTGGGGTATAATGTCTAGGAGGGGACCAGCCGGCTCACGTGGCGACTGTAGGCTTCAGTTTTTGAGGCCCTGCCAACCAGCGCTCCAGCGTGGTGGCACCGTTCTACATGTCCTCCGGCAGAGTCTGAGGGTTCCAGCTTCTCCGTGTCCTTGCCGACACTCTATGTGTTTATGTGATAAAATCTTTTCTCCCTGCAGCCCCTGATGCCACAGATATGGGGGAGGGTCACAGGACTAGGAGACACTCAGGTGAAGAAAATCTTAGTCCGACTTTCTCTCTCTGGAATTCCTGAATGGAGTAACTCCCTAACACGAAGGTAGAACATTCCCATGACTGGAGTGGAGGGCTGTGCAGGGAGAGCAGGGAGTCCTGCAACATAAGAGAAAACTACAGGGGGAACAAAAGTCCCATGTCCTACAATGGGAGGTCCTGCTCTGGACCGTTCCAGAAGGAAGGACAGAATCAGGCTGCTGCGGATACACTTCCAACAAGGAGGCATATCACGTACTCCAGTTCCATCACTGGACAGCTGGGAGAGGTCATGGTCCATCGTTCTTCTCAGGGGTCTTTTGTACAAATAACCCCCCTCTGCTCAGTGAAATACTCAACAGCTTCCATGCCAAGTTTCCCCTTACCTCTCTTTGCAGAGATTCATTCTGTCACCCAAATACGTGTGAGATGCCCAAGACTGAGCTTCCGGTCACTGGCAGCTCTATCCACCCCTCCCACCCAAAGTCCCATCATAACCCCACTCTCGGCTTCTCTCAGACATTTTAGCTGTGGCTTCACTTTGCTTTTTTTTTTTTTTTTTTTTTTTTTTGAGAGAGAGAGAGAGCGTAAGCTGGGAGAGGGGGGGGAGGGGCAGAAGGAGAGAGAGAGAATCTCAGTCCAACTCCCGCTGAGTCTAAAGCGGGGCTTGATCCCACAACACTGAGATCATGACCTGAGCTGAAATCAAGAGTCAGGCGCTTAACTGACTGAGCCAGCCAGGCGCCCCTTCACTTTGCTCTTCTTAGGTCTCATGCCTCCTAACTGCATAGGGTCTTCAAGTACCGAGCCAAGTGCCCCCTGTTTTATTCATCTACAATAAAGAGAAACTATCAAAGGTGAGCAGTAAAGAAGGTTCAGAACTTCTGTTTCACTGCTGCTTTTCTGCTTCTCTTTTTTCGTGGCAATGAGAAAGAGAAGAGTCAGAGAAGAGTCAGAGTGAGGTGTGTTCCTTAATTCTGGATTTCTGTTTACAAGATTGGAGGAAGAGCGATGATGACAGTCACAAAACACCTTTCTCCTGGCTCTGGCCTGAGTCTGACCCTCCCTTTTCCTGTGGGCAGAGATCATCCTGTTATCTGGGGGCCTGCACAGCCCCTCAGCCAGCACTGAGGGAAGCCTGTGGAGGCAGTAAAGGCCCAGGACAGGCAGGACAGTGTGACTAACCCCTCTCCCCACCCAGATCCAGGCTGCCAAGCCATCTGGCCTCCTGCATTTGTCCTGCCACATGCCTGCATAATCCCCCCACCTCTGGCCCCCACTCCCCACGGGATCCTCTTTGCCACCTACTGCCTCCATTTCAGCTTCTCTTCTCTTCTTCTCCTACGGGATCTTTCTTTTCTTTTCTTTTTTTTTTTTCTTTTTAAAAGATTTTATTTATTTACTTGTCAGAGAGATCACAGGTAGAGAGAGAGGCAGACAGACAGGAGGAAGCAGGCTGCCTGCTGAGCAGAGAGCCCAATGTAGGGCTCGATCCCAGGACCCTGAGATCATGACCTGAGCAGGAGGCAGAGGCTTAACCCACTGAGCCACCCAGGCGCCCCTCCTACGGGATCTTTAACACTAAATTTAACATTCTCTTGCTATTTTCTGCACCCAAATTAGGCTTTGCTTCTATCCCTACATGAATGTGCCTGCCTTTTTTGAAAGCATTTCAAAATTCTGCATTCTTCAGCTTTCCCTTAACTCAAACAAGGAGAATGTGCCACGTCTCTAAGTGCCTACTATCCTCAAATCTATCCAACTGGGGTACAACTCCCTCACTCCTGACCCTGTCAGGTCTCCTCAGTTATAAGCCAGCTAAAATAAAAGCAAAAGCCCAGATAATGAGCTCCCACAGGGGAGAAGCCCACGTGTCCAGTGCCCCCTGAGCCTCACCGATCAATGAGAAGCACTTCCAACTCTGTGAATATGAACAGCCTTTACACCAGAGACCTGGCTCTTTAAGTATCTGCTAATGCCATGAGTTCTCCCAACCAGTTAGGGTGTGAGGGGAGATGGGGTAGGGAAGCCAACCTCCGTCCCATCTGGGGCAAGTGAAAAGTAAAGAACCGGATATTTGGGATACTAGGTGAGGAAGGGAAATCATTTGAGGAAATTGCTTAGAACGGGGCAAACTAAGCAGTGAAGATAATTAATTTGTGCTCTCATTCTGATAGAAAGGGGGTCTTAGATGTGTGAGGTGTCACGCTGAGTGTAAAGAAGATCAGGATGTGGGTAAGTGGATTCTAATCCTAAAAGCTCAAAACATCAGGCCAAAGCACTCTGGCAGACCGTCCTGCTTGGGGCCACAGCCATCTGTGCTCTCAGAGGCACTGGGCTTGCGCCCCGCCTGGACCCTCCCCCAGCTCCTACAAAGCCTTTCCCAGCCCATCCCTCCCTGTCCTCTCCCCTGGACTCACCAGGGCGCCACTGCTGAGCAGAATCATGAAAATGATGAAGGTCTCAAACCAGTTGTGCTCCACAATGAGGAAACAGGTCTTCCTCAGGATCCACCAAGACTTGCCAAGCCCTTCTTCGATGTTGACCTGGCAGCACTTGAATCGCTGGACACAGCCTGGCACCAGCGGGAGAGGCAGGTCAGCGAGGGAGCGGGCCCCGCACAGACCCGACCCCTCCTCGGCCTCCTGACCCCAGCAGGCGCTGCCCCACCACACAGCCGGGAGCACAGGGGCTGAATCAGAAGGCCTGCCTCAGCCATGGAGGGCTCCAGGGCTAGGGCGGCGCTGCAACGCTACGGGGACAGGACCCTCTGGAGTTGGGAAGATGTCCTCTAAAGAAGCCGTGAAATGGAGGAGGAAAGGGGAGTCAGGAGGCACACACAGCCATGACACGACAGGCCTTGCTATCGGAAGTTTTGGGCTGACTCCAAGAGAAAACAGACAAAGAAATGTTTGCAAATAGAAACTCGCTCTAGGTAGGAACCAAACATGGGAAACAATATCAACTGGCTTCCAGAGGAGGAGGTGGGGAACAAAGCTCTTGAGGGCGGCCACGGAGCCCCCACGCGGAGCCAACCACTGGCCCTGGCAGAAATCCACAAGCAGTGCCAGGGCCACGGCCCCCCCTTGTCCTTGCCCCTTTGCACCTTCTGTGAAGCAGGCATCTGGGTCCAAGTACTCCTCGGGCTGTTCCACTGGGACTTCTTCTACTTCGGGTTTGATATCGATGGTGCTTCCTTCAGAGGAGCTAGTGTCATCCAGTTTCTAGAGTGGCAAAGAAAAGGGAGTTTAACCAACTCTGCGCGACACTTCCCCTCCATGCTCTACCTCGGACACTGATGAAGGGCCAGACAGGACTCTTTGCAATTCTTATGACCAGCTCATCACCATCCCCTTGCAGAGGGGCAAACAATTACCAGAGGGCCCTCAAAACTTCTGTTGGGACTGAAGCCTGCTCACAGATGAGGGGTCCACCTGAAACGGAAGGTGGCTATTGGTGGGTCTCAGCGCTGAGGCTCAGATGGATTACTGGCAGGGAAGTACTGGAGGGTTTGCTCCAGCCTCTGATTGAGATGAGCCGGCAGCGATGGAGACAGATCTAGGAACATCTCAGGAAACGAGGTCACCCAGGGGAGGTCTAGAATGACAATGGGTATTAGGGTTGGATCTCAAACCTAGCTGGCTATTCCCCAATCTCTCTACCCAGCCCATAGCTGAACCAGTCCCGGGACCTGCCAGGGCCGTTTGTTCCCACACAGAATCAGGGCTGGGTTCTAGACTGGGACCTTACATCTTTGCTGCCTTCAGGATCCGACTCGCTGCTAACATCCTCTGTGTTGAGGTTCTCAAAATCAGACTCGCCTACAGCAATGGGCACCCGCACGGTCAAGTTGGGATTGTTGATGAAGGACATGTGGTCCTCGTCGATGATATACTTCTCCACGCTGCTGCCAATGCCACTGGTCGTGCCGTTGCCGTTCTTCTGGAAGTCACCGTTCCGGTGGATGTCTGCACCGGTGTGGTTGGCGATGCAGTTGGCCTTCTTTTCATAGAGCTCGTCCAGGGGCTTCACTTCATCGGCCTCACGCTGCTTAAAGTGGGCCTGCATGAAGGCGTGCACTTTCAGTTTGGCCCAGGCCACCCCCTTCTTGATCCGGATGACTGAGATTTGTAGGTTGTTCATTTCTCCATCGTCGTCCGTGGCTGCCAGATTGTCTGCACTGAAGGAGCTCAGAAGCAAGGCCAGAAACAGGTTCAGCACCTGTACCAGTGGCATTAGGAGAAAGGAGAGTGAATGTAGACAGTACGACGTGAAGTCAGCCATTAAACTAGGATTAAAATTGGAAGCCCACAGACTTCTGTGACAGGCACAAGAGTTTCTATCATGTTTGGTTTGACAGTGCTCATGTCACTAAGTGGGCATCAAAAAAATTTTTTTTATTGAAGTATAATTAACATATAGTGTTATATTAGCTTCAGGTATACAATATTCAACAATTTTACACATTGCTCAGTTCTCATCACAATAAGCATTCTCTTAATCCTCTTTATCTCTTCCACCCATCCTCCCCTTCTCCTCTGGTACACATCAGTTTGTTCTCTGTATTTAAGAGTCTGCGTTGTTGTTGTTTTTTGTTTTTGTTTTTTTTGGTCTCTTTTTTTCTTTGCTCATTTATTTGTTTCTTAAATTCCACATGAGTGAAAACATGGTATTTGTCTTTCTCTGACTTATTTCACTTAGCATTATACCCCCTAGGTCTAGCCATGTTGTTGCCAATGGCAAGATTTCATTCTTTTTTATGGCTGAGTAATATTCCACTGTATACAGATACACCCATCTCTTTATCCATTTATCTATGGATGGATACTTGGGGTGGTTCCATATCTTGGCTAGTATAAACAATGTTGCAATAAACATAGGGGTGCGTATGTCTTTCCTAATCAGTGTTTTTGTTTTCTTTGGGTAAACACCCAGTAACAGAATTACTGGATCATATAGTTCTATTTTTAATTTTTTGAGGAACTTTCATACTGTTTTCTACCAAGTGGGAACTTTGTTTGGTTTTGGTTGTAATACAAGGTTAATATATCTTTTCTTGGTTCTTTTATAGTTTTATAAACATATATATGTATCCCCAAATATATTGCTTTTCTTACAATCAGAAAAAGCAAAAACTGTATACATTTTGGGAAAAAAAATTTCCCCCAACAGAAAATAAAGATGGACACAGCTTATTGGGAGGATTTAAGAAGAAACAGATGCCATGTATTCACGGACAGGGGAAGTGTTGGAAATCCACATGAAAAAAACAACTAGGCTTGGAGAGCCATGCTTTCCTACAACAAGCCAAGAAAGTAGAACTGAAATACAGTTCATGACATCTTAAGAATTAATTTCCTTTGTTTTCCTAACATTTATAAAATAAAGTAGTTTAACAAGACAGTGATTGTGACTGTTGTGTTCTGTTGTATATCTAATTGTCCAGCCAAGCTTTATTTAAATAAAGCCAAGCTTTATTTATTTATGTTTTAATAGCCTATTTTACCACATTGGACATTAAGATTAATTAATTTATTTTTATTAAGACTTACTTTACAAATTGGGAGAGGTGTTCACTTCTTGATTTACACCTGGCCCTTACTTTGTCACACTTCTGAAGAAGAGCAAGCAATACATTTTAGGTGGAGATCATAGTATGGGTAGAGTGGGGGGAATGGAAACAAATAAATGCACTATATGTACACAAATTATTTGGGCCATTTGTAGAAATACAAAGGAGTATGGTTGATAAAATGAGGGTGAGTTGGAGGGGGCTTTGAAGGCCAGGCTGAGGAATTTGAATTTTATTTAACTGGATTCACTATTGGTCTTTGAGTAGAGGAGTAACAGATGATAGAGATTTGAGAAAATGATTCCTACCAGCTACATACAGTTAGAGCTGTCGCTTGCATGAGTTAATAAGAGTCTAGATTAGGCTACTGTAATCTCAAACCTTAGCATGCCTAAGGAATCTGGGGAGAGGTTGCATGAAAAAATACGTATTTCCTTGGCCTCACCTTTAAGGTTCTGATTCAGTAGATCTGGTATAGGGCCTGAGACCGCCTGTTTTAATGAGTGAAAATTGGGTGGCTGTGATCTTCAGACCACACTTACAGAAATACTGGCTAGATTACAGGCATGGAAAGGATGGGGAAGATCTTAGAAATACTATTAATTAAGGTGTATGAAAGGCATCAGATTGTTTACTGGGAAGGGAGAGAAGAGAGTCAGAAGAGACTTATAGTCACAGATTCCTAAAGACTAGGTGGGCAGAAGGACTGAGCAAAGGTGAACCTGGAAAGGTGTTACCAGAAGCAGAAGTAATGTTATGTGCTTCTGCAGGTATCTATAGAGTAACGGGGAGAGGATGCGGAGACAAGTGAGAAGAGGAGGATGGAGAAAGGGTGGGAAGGCCAGGGCTGGGAAATGTGGATGCCACTATTTACCAGGAGGTAAATTCACTGAAGAAGTGGGAAGTCTAGCGGGAGTAGGACGAGGGAAGGGTGATCAGAAATGGAGAAAGGAAGGGATTACAGAAACATCACAGTGTCCATTTTTACAGATCATAGGAAAGAATAGGGTGGCACGGCTGGTCCAGAGGCTGGTGAGCAGGAACCCCTTCCTGGCATGCTTCTCTGGCACAAAAAGGAGAAGAACTTCTCTGGATGAGCTGACAGGGGGTCCTCTGGGTTTGCCTTCTTCCAGCCCCCCTTGCTCTAGACTGGCAAGTTGGATTGGGCCTGATCTGAAAGATAAGTACTTCTTAAACTTTAGTGTGCATGTCAATCACCTTGGGGTCCAGTTAAAAATGCATATTCTGATTCAGTAGTTCTGGGGTGAGGCCTAAGATTCTAACATACTCTAAAGTGATCTCATTGCTGCTAGTCCTCTGACCACACTTTGAGAAACATGGTGTCAAAATCTCTGTTGGTGAATGAATATTCTACATACAGAGGCAGAAGACAGCAGGCAGACAGGTCGGAGTACAGCAAAAAAGTGATTTGCCACTTATACAAGTTAGATAAAACCCTCCGTCAGTTTAGATCAGTGGTTCTCAATGGAGGGCAATTTTGCCTCCTAGGGGATAGTTGGCAACGTCTGGAGACATTTTTGGTTATCACAACTTAGGGAAGGTGGGGGGGTTACTGGCCAGTAAAAGGTAGAGGTCAGGAAAGTTGCTAAACATCCCACAACACATTTGTAGGACATTTCTACAACAAAAGGATTGTAGGACAATTCTACAACAAAAAATTATCTAGCCCAAAGTGCCAACAGTGTCAAGGTTGAGAAATTCTGAATTTAAATGAATTTTTCTGTAGTAGAAAGAGTGTAGATTTTGTAGTCCAGGATCTAATACAAGCCCTGACATTTATCAGTTGCCTGACTTCAGGAAGGTCACTTAACTTTGCTGAGGTTTGTTTCCATAGCTATGAAAAAAGGGTTGACAGGTTGTGGGGCTTATGACTCAGCAGGCCTCTGTAAAGAACAGTTTCCTTTCCTTCACTTGTACCTTAGGGTACTTGAGCCAAGAAAGGATAAAAACTAGCACAGGCATGAAAGCTAGTAGGACCAAGACCATTGGGCTTCTGGTCAAGGGTATGATGTTCTGGGCAAAGAATGAGAAGTTGTACAAGTTAGTACTAACCACCAAGTTGCCAATAACCATGACCATCATGAAGACGATGAGGCACATGGCCTGGCCTGCCACTTCCATGCAGTCCCACATGGTCTCAATCCACTCCCCGCACAACACTCGAAAGACAATGAGGAAGGAATGGAAAAAGTCATTCATGTGCCAGCGAGGGAGTTCACAGTCCTGGTTGATCTTGCAGACACACTCTTTGTAGCTCTTTCCAAAGAGTTGCATGCCCACCACAGCAAAGATGAAGACAATAATGGCCAGCACCAGGGTCAGGTTGCCTAGGGCACCCACTGAATTTCCAATAATCTTGATCAGCATGTTCAAGGTGGGCCAGGATTTGGCCAATTTGAAGACTCGGAGCTAAGGGGGGAAAAATTGAAACAAAAATCAAGTGATACTCAATCCACTATCTTCCACATGGCTAAAATAAAAATAAATAAAATTAGTGAGATGAGCTTAAATTTACTGAGCGACCTTGGGAAATTCCCAGGACTTTCTAACTGTCTTAGACTAAAATGGGAGAATGTGAGGCACAGACAGGCAAAATGGATTAATTTCACCGTACATGAAAAACTTAAACTAGGAACCAAGATTATTGCCTCTAGCCCCCTATATTAGTCTCTGAATCAAACTGCTTTTTATGTTTTATTTGTAAATTTTAATTTAAGTAGGCTCCATGCCTAGTGCAAAGCCCAACAGGGGGTTTGAACTCACGCCCCTGAGATCAAGACCTGACTGAGATCAATAGTTGGACGCTTAACCAACTAAGCCACACTGGCACCCCACAATCCACTTTTTAAGAACCCATACATGAATATATCCTTTTGCTATTGATTTTTCCTTGACCTCTCAAAGAACATATGAAGGAAAATGTTGAGTTGTAGTGAAGCAAAAGATCAGGATGGCAAGGAAAGTGAAAAATAAATCATCTGTCTCTTTAAAAAAAATCACGTAAAAATTCTAAGTATCTCTCTTTTTGCTTGCCAATAAATAATCAACAGCTGATATGAAACTGTGGAATACACTTGGTATAACTTGGAGGAAAAGCACAAAGCCCTAGTAGGTGCAGTTCCACGTATATCAAACATCTTACGAGAAGGGCCTATAGTGATATTAATTCAGAGGACACACTTCTGTTATGAGATTTCTATATTCTCTAATAAATGATTTGTAAGGTCTCAGCAAATAGTCTAGAATTATAATGCATATAATTCATTATCTAGAAATAATAATGATGAGGTCATCTTCAGATATCATAAGTTAATGACTAACACAGGACATAATAGGAATTTTGGTAGAAGGCAACAGCACAGAGTGGAACATTTTTTTCCTATTAAAAGCTTGAGTCTTATCTGAGAGTTCAAGATTTACCAGGTGTTTCTCTGTATGAATATCTGGATCATTCATATTTTTTCCCTTCCTGACTGGCTCTTAAAATTATTAGGAATACTAGTGCTCAGGCTTCCACCTCTTACTCCTTCATCCCATCTTCCAGATAGTAAGAACGATTTTCAAAAAGTCTACTGTGGGCTGGATTCTAAGACTAGTAAAGATCCCAAGACTAGTAAATAGAGGTTCCAGAAACTTGCCAGATGGACTGAGACTGAGTGAGACCTCTGTTTTACAAATAATTCCATTTTATTCCAATTCTCTTTTTTCAACATGCTGAATATCCCATGAAAAAAACTAAAATCCTTTCAGTTATAAGTGCTAAGGTATTTTTCCCGATGGGGAAAGAAAAACCTAAGCCAGTTCTGATGCTCTGAGTGGGATATCCCCAAAGTAACTTAGCTTCTCAAGGGACTTAATCAGGGCATAGCTTATGCCTGTGTTTATGGGAAGCTATTTTGAGGGTATCATTAACTGTTTCAAAGTCATTTTAATAATTTTAACATTAATTTTCTCAAGTACATTACAAAATCCTTCTCAGCTAATGTTATAGGAAAAAAAAGCCAATGTTTAACAGTTAATTTCAATATCATTTTAAAAATATTGTTTTGTTCCTGTTTTCTGGAAGGGGTCATCATGATGGAAGAAATGAGAGACCTCTTTGAACAAGGAGAAATTCCACTTCAGGGAGATGTTCAGATAAGGAAACAGCTTTACTAGCAAATTCATTAGACCTCAGAATAGCCCTTAGGAATCCTTTTTCATCTTTTAGATTAACCATTATTTTCTGAGGAACTTCCTAAAATTGACCTCTGTTTGTTTACTGACATTAAAAACTAACTTCTACATTGGGCACTTAGCAGAAAAATTTTTTCAAGACTTTAGTATCTAAGCCAATAAATTGCCAACAGAAACTGTGAGTAGAATATAGCTTAGGATTTTTTTAATCATCAAATTAACTTATGCAAAACTTTTTTAGTAGCTGCAAGACAGGAAATGTAAAAAGAAATTGGAGAAATATGGAATACCAATCGGAAAGATCGCAGCACCGAAAGCCCCTCCACGTCTGCTAGACCCAGTTCCATTAAACTGAGGGAGACAATAAATCCGTCAAAAATGTTCCAACCTTCTTGGAAATAATAGTAGGGATCCATGGCTATGAGCTTCAGGAACATTTCCGCTGTGAAAATTCCAGTGAAAACCTAAAGAGGGGGAGGCGGGGGTAAGAAAAAGAAATAAGAGAAAGAGAATGCCTTTATCATTATCTTTGGATAGAATACGTCCAAGAAGCTGCAAGAGCTAGCCTTCTTAAACTGTGCATCTGAGGACATCAGCACTTAGATGTCGCATGACTACTCCACATGGGGCAGGAGAGCCTTGTTGCCTCTTGATTCAAGTACTCGGTCTTAATGTTCTCATCTTTGTTGCCAGAAACACCTAATTCACATTGCTCAAGAATGCATTTAACAAGCTATTTTAAGCAATAGGAAGACCACACAGGGGACAGACCCCTTCTAAAGGGTCAGCAGCCATTTTGAATGTTTATGTTTGGGGTGTTCGCCTAAAAAAAACCAAAACCAAAAACCAAAAAACACCCTTCATTGAATTGTAATTCTATGTAAAATATACAGCATTATTCCTGATTTGATATTATGTGTCTTTTTATTTTTAGATTTTATTTATTTATTCAATAGAGACAGCAAGAAAGGGAATATACAAGCAGAGGGAGTGGGAGAGGGAGAAATAGACTCCCCACTGAGCAGAGAGCCCAATGTGGGGCTCGATCCCAGGACCCTGGGATCATGACCTGAGCCGAAGGCAGACGCTTAACTCCTGAGCCACTCAGGCCTCCCAATGTTATGTGTCTTATCGAAGGTTGACATATGCTGCCATGTTTCTTATTTTGAGTTGTAAAAGCAACAGAACACTGCTAAAAGTGTGCAAAATACAGGAAAAAAGTATAGTCTCATCATCTCATACAACTATCATTTTTTCTATATTCCCTCTTTGGTTTTTTTCAAATGCATATATATTTTGACAGAGTTGTAAAATCATAGAGTACGTAATATCTTGGGTCTTATTTTTCACTTATCATAACTCAATCCATGTTTCTGCATAGTCTTCTGAATTCCCATTTATATTGCTTGTATAAAATTCTACTGAGTATGTCCTCAAAGAACTTTCTTTTCTTTTTATTAAAAATTTATTTATTTTAGAGAAAGAGAGAGCGTGAGCTGGGGGAGGGAGATAAAGAGAGAGAGAGAGTTTCAAACAGATTCCCCACTGAGTGAGGAGTCCATCTGGGTAAGAGAATGACTTCTCCCCAGTGCCATAAGACTCCTAACTTTACTACCTTTCAGAGCACCCCATGTCTCCCAATGCCTCCTGTATCCCACAGGACTTGGTAACATAATGTACTATAAGAAAGTAAAATCCCACAAATTCCAGGTTTGACAAGACCCTCATCCTAAGCGAACCACATAACATCAGACTCTTACTGAATAACATCAGATTCTTACTGAATATTATGATTTTATTTTATTTAATTTATTTTTTTTAAGATTTTATTTATTTATTTGACAGAGAGAGATCACAAGTAGACAGAGAGGCAGGCAGAGAGAGAGAGAGGGAAGCAGGCTCCCTGCTGAGCAGAGAGCCCGATGCGGGACTCGATCCCAGGACCCTGAGATCATGACCTGAGCCGAAGGCAGCGGCTTAACCCACTGAGCCACCCAGGCGCCCTGAATATTATGATTTTAGAGGAAGGCTTCATATGTAATGGGTTTTAAACTCATAATAAAATTATAGCTTGCAACTACCTGGTTACCAAGTTTACAAAGGAAGCAGTTTAAGGAAAACTTTGAAGATATGGTCTGAGGACAGAACTGGAAGTAGTCAAAAATATTTAGATTACAGATGCTGTTGGGAAAGAGACCCAGTTAATGTATAGGAACGACAAAACAGAACGGTGTGACAGAAATCAAAATGGATACAGGGGCTGTAAGGTTTTGTGTCTGTGTACTTTTCCACGGACCCCATTTTCCTAAACTGAAGATGCCGTTATTCTAGAACTGAAAGAAAATAATCCCTAGAGAGATCCAATTAAGCAAAATCAAAGTTCACAGTGCCTGCTACGCGTCTACAGATGGAACATCACTGTGAGGGCAGCTAAGCAAATCCTGACAGCCATTTTCCCTCAGTGTAAACCCAGGGAAGGTTTCTTTCTACAGAAATGTCAGCCTGCTTGCTGCACACTGAGTAGAGACTGGATTTGCTGTCCCACTGGTTCTGATGGACACACAGGAAATGCTCAGTCATAAGCACTGGCTAACTGACCATGGAATATTTATACTGTGGGAACTCTGGTTCCTAAGAGAAAATCAACGATGGCAGAGTTACTGTTGCTTTTCAGTGGGATACATGGCACCCAGATGCTGGGTAGAAATGCCTGTGACAGAGGTCAGCAACCATGTTCTTTCAACATACAGTGATTGCCATCATTGGGGTTTGCTGGTATGAAAGAACACTTTTTTTTTACAAATGGAAAAGGGTAGCTTTAAGGCTATCCCTATGATGCCATTCTAATTTGCGCTGTGGTTTGCTTCTTGAGGAGGAGAAAAAATAAGAATGATAAGAATTATAATTATAATCACAGAATTATAAGCAGCATATCAACCAACAGCTGTACATAAATATCACTCTTGTGAGTGTCCTCAAATATTCACCTAGGAATGTATGCTCTAATGTAGCATTTCTCAAAGAAATTGGGACTGGGGTGTCAGGGCCTGAGAAGTGTGGGGAGAGGGTCCACAGGGAGGACACTGGTGTGGATGCTGGGGGTCTAGCATAGGAAGCCAGAGCCTGAAAAGGGCGAGGAGGACAATCACCTAGCAAGAGGTAACAGTGCTTTTTGATCAAATAAATAAACTAGAAATAGAGGCAACCAGGTTTCTTTGTCAGAGGAGTTACAATTATAGAAACGGAGATACCGGAATGAACCCGGTAATGTTGGACTAGGATAAACAGCCATACTGAGAGGGCCCAGTCATGAACATTGCTCCAATAGATCTTGACTTCTAATTATCATTTCCACTACAACAAGGGCTCCTTGAGAAATGGTTGGTCCAGGCCTGAGATGGGAAAAATATAAAATTAGCCTGGACTATTCTATGATACCGGATAAAAGGAAGTAATGAGGATATGTTGACAGGACCCAGAAACCAGCTTGAAGGAACGCCCAGTGGCCAAATCAGGAATGGTTTAAACATTTAGATGATAATGGATTATAACCCACCATATAAAACTGAAAGCCATGAGTCTACGTTGACATAAATAAATGAATAAATCCAAAGTTTAATGAAGAAAAGTAAATTTAGATCATTTCAAAACATCTTCACAAACACTTACTAATTAAAATGGAATTATAAATGGAAAAGAGTAACTTTACAGGAGAGAAGCCTGGCAGACACCTCCTTCATCAACTGACCGAGTCCCATCAATTTGGGACAAATGGAAACCATGCCATCTGGTAGGTGCAAGGAGAAGACAGCCTCGCTTTTGTAACATTCCCACCAAATGTGTAAGCTGAGTCTAGTCTGGAGGAAGCATCAGACAAACTGAACTTGAGGGAATTCTACAAAATAACTGGCCTGCAGTCTTCCCTAGTCTCAAGGTCAAGAAACCGAAGTAAGACTGAGAAAGTCCGCCAAGCTGAAGAAGACTGAAAAGACAGGACAACCGAATGCAACAGGAGACTGGAACAGCATCCTTTTGCTACAGAGGACATGACTGAGATTTCTGGCAGAACCTGAAGGGGCCCGAGAATGCAGTGGTTGTGAGGTGCACGGGAATTTCCCGAGTTTGGTGGCCGTACTACGGTTTTGCATGAGAACGTACTTGTTCATTAAACACACATGCAGAAGGCTCAGAGGCTGTGTCAGCAGCTTCCTCTCCAAAACAACATCTTAGACCGTACCTGAAACCTTTCTCCAAGATTGAGATTGCTTAAAAAAACAAAACAAAACACCTTTTAAACTCACTATTATGTTCAAATGGTTGCAAAAAAGGTAAGAAAAGAATCCTTACATTTATCTCCTGAATAACACAAAAGATGTAGAAGTCATATAGCCAAACTGGGCTTCCATTTCCTTTATGGAACATGAGGGATGGATAGAATTATCTTTAAGGTTCTTCCTCATATTAACGTTTTTTCTTGTGGGAGGGTTGAGGAGGCAGCAAACTTTACAGCAAACCATTCTCCTCTCCCACCAGAAACCTCCATCTGTCTATCTATGGACAAACACAGCTCAGGTCACCGTCCCAGCTGTGGGAAGTCCTTAGGGTTCCAGCCGTGAGACAGGCTGTTCCCTATTTCACAAGCTGGTCAATCTCACTCTTTTCCATCTTTTTCTCAGGTTCATTCAAAGACTCTCTCTAGATGTCCAAGCCTTTCGGAGCTCTTCTCTGCTTGTTAGATGGGATGCTGCCTGGTTCATGAATCATTTAATAAAGCCCGTTAGATTTTTTTTTTAAATGTCCAAGCTACTGAATTACACTAATATGGTTCCTATGATTTGTAGAGTACTTTTTACTATTCCAAAAACTTCTCTATAGGTTCTCATTTTGTCCCAAATACTGATGACATGGTATTATACTTGTTTTATAGATGCAAACATCTGTGGTTAGAAATGAGTAGCATATTTTAAGTTAGTATGTTCAAAACAGAACTCTTGATTTTAAACCTCAAACCTATTCCTTCTTCAGTCATCCTATTTCCCTCTTAGCTACCAAACTTCCAAATCTAGGTACCATTCTTCATTTCTTTCCCTTCACGCTCACCTCCAATCTACTAGCCAGTCCAAAGTGTCCTGAACCACTCACTGTTTTCCATCCCCACTACTAACTGCATGCTTTCTTTACAATCCCTTGGAAATTCTTGCCCCCAGAGTGTTTTCCCATTTTAGAACTCGGTTTTGTTTGACTTGCTTCAAAAAGTCCCTGAATATTATTAGTTGCTGACCTTCCCTTCTCTCCTCTTTCTTCTTGATGATTCTGAGCAAAGTCTTCTGAATGTTCACAACTCTAATTTAGGTGTGACCCTAAGTCTCTACAGATTTTTAAGAAAGGGAAAAATGGTGTTATCTGCTGGTCTGGTCTGAGGGCAATTCTGCTGGTGGTAGGTGAAAAGACCTCTCAAATTCCCTTCAAAATCAAGGACTGGCTCTGTAAAAAGCAAGTAAAAGTAAAGACTTTGAGAAAAACAAAACATCTCAGGGAAAATACCACCACCACCACCATCAACAACAACAAAATTATCAAGCTATATTTTTCATTACTTAAGTCTTGGCTAATAAGATAAAGCTCATATCTGTATCATCTTGTTGATTCCTTCAAAATGTTGCTTGACGGCCAAGTTTCTGGCTTGCGAGTGACACAACCCACTATCAGGTACCCTTCAGAGTCAGCAGATTTCCTGGACAGCCTACGAGAGTGTCCCATTTCAAGATGACCCATATTTCATCAGGTGGCACACGAGGGTTTATATCAAAGCAGTGAGCCTGAAGCGTGTCACTAACTCCGACGTGCAGAGTAGAAAGAACACAGAATTATCTCGGATGTGTACCAGGGAATGTGATAGGCTATAAGGACTAACCAGATAAAGGATCTCCTTTGCCATGTGTGTTTTCATAATCAAAACTCAAAATGATATTATAACACTCTAATAGTATGTTAGTGCTTAATATAAATACTCTTTGTGTGTGTCAGATGTGTGTGTGTGTGTGTGTGTGTGTGTGTGTGTATACAGAGAGAGGGAGGGAGGGAGAAGGAGAACATCAGGCAAGGATCATACTCAAAAGGTAACAAACCACTAGATTTGACTTGCTCATGGTGAAACTCCCAAGGAATAACGAAGCACAGATGACCTAGGAGATTCTTTCCAACTAGATCTTTCCCATCTACCAAAATTCAATCGACTCCTGATTTTTGGACTAAAGAAATAAAACAGATAATCCCCAAATCACAACTATTTGACTTCAGAATACACTGTGCCACCTATTAAAAACAAAACAAAGCACCTCATTCTTATCTTCTAAATAATATAATAAGTTAAATATATGACTTCAGCTAACATTAAAATAAATTTGGCACAGATCAACTAACGGTAGAAACTGGATGAGAGCCCAGAAGTTGGATGGGAGGGGGAAGCCAGCCTAGAATTAAGTTTCCCACAGATAGGCCCCATATGGATAATTAAGATATGACAGTGCAGGCAAATTTATAGTTCTATTTAATGCACTAAAAGAGCTCCCCTATTTTGTGGTGGTTGTTACTGAAGGTGAAAGGGGAAGTGATGCTGGAGTAATGCAGGAATCAATGTGAGAAACAGAATGAGAAAGAAAATCCAGAAGTCCTTGGCTCAGGTTGCTGAAAGCAGCCCACTGCACCATGCCTCCCATTCTGTCACCATGACTGGTTTTCTGCCAATAGCTCCTAAATGACGTCTTCAAAGTTCTGCAGAAAGAGGGAACAGCCAAGGGATCACAACAGTGAGCAGAAGCGGCTGGGGCTACGCCATATGTGGAAGCATTTGTCTTCCAATTAACTCTTACTTTCTTTGCAACTGAACTCCAGCTTCCAGTATCGCAAAAAGATGTCCTACAGGCAAAACATGTTCGGATCATAAAATCCGGAGACGGCGTTCCATCTTACCAGATTTCCTACAGCCAAGACGTGCTCAAACTGTGGTGTCATGGGATGGTGCTCCATGGCCATAAACAGGGTATTCAGGACAATGCAGATGGTGATGGCCAAGTCCACAAACGGGTCCATAACGATCAAATTCACAATCTCTTTCAGTTTGATCCAGTAGGGGTGACACTCCCAGATGAGGAAAGTATTGGCAAATTTATACCAGCACGGCGGGCACTTTCTCTGAGACTCTTCCAGCTCTGTAGTGAGTAAAGAACAAACACGGTAAGAAAACAAAGGGGGCTGCTCTTCACCCTCTGCTGGGTCATTATCACTTCTATTCCGCACAAGAAGAAAGGTGGTCCGGAATGCCGTGCTGACCTTCCTGAGTGTGTAGTCACCGCCCCCCACACTGTTTTCTTTTTCATGAAGGGAAAGAGGAAGCAGGGGCAGTCGCAGGTCACCTCCCTGTTAACAACGATCTGGTTATAAACTAGGGTTTGATATGTCTGTTTTGGGAGCCCAGCGTCATGGTTACGAGCTTGGCCTCTGGAGTCTGGCTCCCCGGTCTGCCTAGGTTCAGCACTCACAACTGTGTGATCTCGGGCAAGTTGCTGGGTCCTCTATGCTTCTTTGCATCATCTGAAATGACACTTCCTTTACAGGCTAGAAGGCTAAACGAGTCCTGTAATCCTCATGCACTGACTGAAGAGTAAGCAAGGTGGTGAAGTAAAGCAGCCTGGACAGCGCCTGGCGCGCGGCAGGTCCTTGGTAAATGGTAGGTCTTAGATTATACATCGTGTCCCTAAATCATTATCTGAGAAGCAGCCGCAAGCACAGACTCTGAAGCCAGACGTACCTGGCTGCTCAGGAATTGCTAGGTGGGGGAACCCGGGCACCGTTCTTCAGTCAGTGGAGAGAACTGAATGCACTAAGACAGAAAGCATCTCAGAGCACCCTGGCCTACAGTAAAGGTCACAGAAGCGTCTGCTCTTAGCACTCATTCTCTGGGCAGCCCAGGCAGCGTGGGTGGCCGGCTACCCTGTGCAGGGCGTCTCTTCCAGTCCCAAAGAAGTGCAAGTCAGTGAGCTCACAATTCACAACTGAGGTGGGCACAGGACTCCCACTCCTCTCCCTTCCCCTTCTCTTTCTCATCTCCCCTCTTTTCCCTTCTTGAGACATTTTCGTCCTCCCTCCTTCCTTCCCTCCCTTGGTCTTTCTCTTCTTTCCTTTTTCTTATCTTCTTTCAGTCTGGCTCTCTCGCTTTTAGAAACAGAACTGGTTAGTTTCCAAGAAGATCTTACGTGATCCCCAACATACAAAACAGATAAGCCAGGAACTGCTGTAGTAGAGGCAGGAAGAGGAGCCCAGTCTGGCGGACTTCCTTTTTCCCTGAGGCACTTCCCTAGAATCCTGGACATAGACTGAATATCACTGGACCAAGATGATCTCAAGGTCACTCACAAAACAAAGATGAAAAAGGACCCTTAGACACTAAAGGCAGAGAACCATTTAGCCGGCAACCATGACAACCCGGGCATTAGACCATAGGCAACAAAGCCCTCCTCACGTAAAGTATGAGTCATAATAGCCTGAATTACAAAAGTCCAAGGACCTTGATCTCCAAGGATGTTCTTTAAGAGATGGAGATTTGAAAACCTGTCAGCATGATAATCCTTAGAGGAAAGGTCTTGGTTCCACCGGGTTGAATATAACTGCATCTATCCCACACCCCAACTCAATTCTGCTGACAAAATCAAATCATTCAAGGAATGAAAAAAAGTTTCTCAGCGTTTCACCAAGAACAAGATGGCTGCCTTAAATTAGTCTACTTTCCCTTTTTCCAACCAGCTGGATGGTGCCCATGGTGATGGCTTTAATTTAGATGGGGTGCTTTGGTTGGGTTTTTGATTGGCTCCCTGGTTGCTAAGAAAATGGTTGCCTTGGTTTTTCAGATTTAAGGGCCACAGTAAGCGCCACGTGGGAGTCTGCGTGGGAAAGGAAGTCTGTGAAGAAAATTTGCTTTGGCTTCTTCCTCATAGAACTCCCTCCCTTCCCAAGGTAAATTTAGTTTTCTAACCAAAAAAAGAAAATGAAAAGGTTCTCTTATTTCCATAAATTCTTACAGTACATATTTGGAAATTTGGTTCCGTTCCTTTTTTTAATCTCCTCCCTTCTCCAAATGTCTATTCACTGGCACATGGAGGTTAAAGCAGCGACTGTTCACGTCTCTGACAGTAGACACAATTGCAGTGTTGTACGGTGCACTAGGTTCTAAGTCTCTGCCAGATATCGAAGAGGGGTTTCCCTACCCTATGGGGCACCAAGAAGGTTCCTACGGGGATACTGGGGATCTTACCCACATTTTCTCAGGTAAGATCTCAGGATAATCTTTCGGGTTCCACAAACGGTAAGACAACATGGAGCTTTAGGAGCTAGAAAGGATCAGTTAGGTGACAACAGAGATTTATAAAGTGACTCACAACTTGACCAACTGTTATTGGCCCCACATGCCTGAAGTGGCTAAGAATTTTGTCTGAGGAAAAATATTTCCAAAGAAATATCCAAAGGTTTATGGGTTTCCCCTTACTTTGCTCCTGGACATTCTCAGAGAGGTTACTGTAGTCTCAACCTCAGGGGTGCTGGGGATTCTTTTCAGAGAGGGCCTCACAGTTCCGCCAAGATGGTGGTGTTAGTAGACAGTGAGGTTTTGAAGGCAGGGCTTCTCTCAGTTCAATTCAACTGCTTTGAAACACCTACAGTGTGCAAGGCCCTGGGAATACGCTGATGAACAAGAGTCCCCACCCTCACAGAGCTTACAGCCACACCACGAGAGAGACACAGCGGGGTAAGTAATGGTGCTGACACTTGGGGCTGGTCAGTTGAACACAAGAGCGAGTCAACAAATTGTGGCAGCTGACAGCTCTGGCCAGTTGTCTCTCTGAGAAAGTTTTTGAACCTGTTTTACTTGAGAACCAATAATAAGTACCATCACTTCCTCATTCTTACTTCACCAACTCCCTCCTCTTCTCCCATAGCTTCACTGCTCAGAGAAGTGAGACTATAGTAGTCTGCTTACACCCTTCCCCCAGTCCTCTGAACTAGCCCCAAGCTGATGGCTCTGCTGACTGAATCCTGCTGAGTTTATTGGATCAAGGTGAGGATGTCTACAACGGGATGGGGGGGTTGGCGACACACAATAGGCAGGATTTTCTCCTTATTTACACGCTTCTGGAATTCTCCACTGTGCCCTCTAAGAGATCAGGTAGGCAGAAGCCTGCTTCTTTGGTTTGGTAATCCAAAGATTAAAATTATGTCAGAGTTTCCTAACAGAAGGTCTGAGAAGCAGGAACAATTATCCATTCAATGCTGGCTTTTCATGTTGTAGCAATCATTGAATACAAGGACCAGCAGTTAAATAGGAATGGATCTTTCTTAATGTCCTTTAATTCCCTCTCACATTAGTCAGCTCCAGCCATTCGTTGTTCTTTGCTTACATCGGTTCTGTCTCATCAGCTTTAACAAAGGGAGTGGAATACTAGGGTAGGGGATAGGGGAATGTCTGCGCAGTGAAAGGCTAGGTGAACATTAGGACTTAGAAAAGGGAGAAAAAAACAGGAATGGTTTCCTACTCAGGAACACAACTATGACTGTCTCTCTCTCTCCTGAGCTGCCCCATGTCTGTTTTTTATCATATATGTGCTGGTGGGTGGAGGGTAGAGAATGAGGAGGGCAGAACAGGAAGAGAAAGAAGGGCACAGGGAGAAGAGGAAGGGAGAAGAAAAAGACCAAGCTATCCCTCCATTGGTTTCTACCCAGCTCAGTAGAGGAATGCAAGCACCAAGGCCTTCAAAGGGAAGCCCGCAGCATGGACGCCCCCACCATTCCAAGCACAGCAAGGGTCAGTCTAACAAACATTTCTGGTGCATTTACTTTTACTAGACCCTGTGCTGGGCCCCTTTAGTAATCAACTGAGTAACTGTGGTATTGCGTCAATGGTTCCTCCATTCTGATGTCCGTGCCAGTTGTGAAATATGCCTGTTGGAGGTGCAACTTTCTCTTTCTTTTGTCTTTCTCGACTTCCACAGATATCCAGAGAAATCCTGTTCTTGTCTCCAAGTGAAGAATAAAATTAGCCAAGGTTCTTAAGCTAGTGCTTCTTAGCTTGAAATTCTTATGCTCTGCAGTTATCTCAAAGTATAAACTACAAAGTTTAAAGATATTTTCTTGGATGATGACCTCGACGAAAATTAGAGGAAAACAGGAATAAATGTTCAGGCAGCTGAAACAGTTAACTCAAATTCTTCTTACTTGATACATTCTTAAGATTATTCTAGGTATAGTCTAATACGTTGCTCACAGGTGGTAATGTAAACGATCTAGGGGAGCTCCTTTCTGAGGATTCTCCCTTTATCACAGACGACCCTGCTGAATGAATGAACACACACTCTCTCTCTCCGAGTAGAAGAGGTATTGGGCTCAAATGACTTAAAAAATAACTTGTCCCAAGGACATCAGGATAGTTTTGAATCTCCTTAGCTCAGGAACTCTGGTTATTGCTGGGTTAGCCCGGGGATTCTGAACTCTGAAGAACAGCAATCTGAGGCCTTGAGAATATTCTGGGACAGCTAGGCTAAACCAGTGTGAATCAAAACAAGAAGATTCATGCAGAATCAAACAGCATCTCCTGAGAGAAAACCCAGTCACTGAATCTACCTCCAGAGACAGCAAGAGGAGCCTGCGGTACAGACCACAGGTGGACAGACAGCTGATACTCGCTGGGGGACTGTGGTGTCGTGGAAAACCCTGCTGCTGCACAGCATGCCAGGCTGTGTTGTGCAGGGGGCACCCAACACCAAGCACCAGCATCGACAGCAACACTGCTGTAGGTGCACTGTGATTGCACAGTGGCTGTTCTCCGGTGGCACAGAGCACCGAAATAAGAGGGGTTTCGGCTTACCTCTCACACATCAAACATATTTATGGATATGTGGGGGTGTTTGATAAGAGGCAGAACTAGGTGCCGTCTAAATGCACAGTACATTAGTCCTTCAGGGAAAACCAAGAGGGCCCCAGGTAGCTAACAAGGAAAAGAGGAAGGTATGTTGTAGGGCAGAGGGCATGGAGGGATGCCATCATTTCTTATCTTCACAGTTCCTCAGTCTACAGCCTTTATGCCTCCCCTCACCCCACTGGCTCCTCATGACCATTACAGTGCTCTTGAGATCTTCCAGCTCACTCCTGACCGTCATTTCCTTCATAATTCTTACTTATCTGTGTACAATGCTGGTAGAAGCTCTGAAGTCCTTATTTGATTCTCTGCATGCAGATTTGGGATGCTGGTTCCTACAGCCCGTAGACTCTATTCCTAAGGTTCAGAGTTAATTTTTGCAAAACTCAGGCCAATGGACAGGGATTATATTTATCACGCACGCTACTTTTGAGATCTTGGCTGCTTGGACTGACATCAATGGCACATACCTTCTACTAGTGTATTTGTAACGACACTCAATATACTGTTGATTCTGTCCTTCCGCCCATAGGAGGCCAGTTGGTCCATGGAAACTAAGAGAGATCCGGGGCCTTTCTTCTTAATTTCCACCTCAGTTGTAGCCTGGAAAAAAATAGTGAATCGGGTGAGTAAAGTCTTACAAACATTAAAGCTGGGCCTTACTGGACAGACAGTCCAGAGTGTGAGCAGAAACAGATGCTCTTTCTGATACCTTTTACTCTGCTCCTACAATCCTATCACCTCAAGAAGTAGAAGCAAACATGACTATGGATCATCCTAGCTCTAAAAATGACAAGACCAGGTGAAGTATGTACAAATCTACAATGAACCAAAGAATCTGGCTGGGACCCAAGCACCTCATCTGGTTAATTCGTAGCATGGAACAGAAAGACCAGATCTCCAGGGCCAATGCCATCCAAAGCAGAACCTAAATTCTCCCATCTCAGTCTCGTATCCATAGTATCTGGCTAGAATCGGACCACACGGTAAAATAAGTAGAATTCACCTCCATTCGACATTTCATTAAGCGCCAAGTCCCTGATCACACTGAGTACTGTAGACATTGTTTCCTGCATGGGTACGAGACACCATCGCTCTCTCAAACTATTGCTTCCAAATATCAGACCTGGGCCCAGGTGAATGTTAGCAAGCTGAAGTTCTACCCTAATTCTCCTCCAAGGCACTGTAAAGAAGTATGGTAAGGGTCTCACTATTTTAGATCTATGTTTATTTTGCCCTGATAAAACTTTACTTTATAAGTTAACCTGAGATATTCAAATTCCCACACAAAAAGGGCAGAAAACACCATCAGACTGTTACACAAAATATTTGTTACATGCTCTACTGTGGGCAGTACTGGCATGGGAGATTACAGCACAGTGTTTCTTACTGTCCCTTGCTTGTGCTCTTTGTGCCAACCTGAATATACTACATTAGATTAGCCTTCAGGCAGTGGCTTAAAAGCTAGCTTTCCAGTTACCACACCAATCACTATAACATGTCATCCATGTAATGCTGGTTGTCCCTTCCACTGTGAAGATAAGAGGGCAGAGACAGTCACCATCTCTCAGAGCACAGGGGAGATACATGTTTGTAGGAAGCTAGAGAAGTAGGTCTGATCAGTACCAGAATGACTCTAGCTGTTTTGAAAAGTCCCTAGACAGCTCCATCAGAAAGGCTTTCTGCCCTTAGGTATGACTAGATTTTAAGAACTGTACAGAAGAAAGTTTCTGGCAGATTATAATTTATCTTATTACAGTGTTTCATCAAACTGTTTCACTGATTTAGACATTTGGTTTACCTTAGGGTTTGGTTTTGTTTTGTCTGGCGGAGCTACAGAAGAAATGGAAAAGAAAAAGCACTGATTTCCTTGGGAATTCCTGGCTGTATTACTATACAAATACCTGAATATGTAACAGTGATGAGATGACCAGTTCCTCAGGTCAAATAAGATCTATTTCTTTGATAAGCCACTTTTTGGTGCAATTGTCAGCCTGGTATTCATAACACCTAATAAATCAGATTAGATGATTCCATTTTAACAATGAAAATCATCTAAAAATGAATGCAGAAAAGCTCCACAGAGTAGACACTCTTGTTTCTGGCATTTATTCCTTCTAGATTTTTACGGAGCTGCTCTTTGCAGTACATGATAGAAAATTTTCATAATGCTGACTCCCAGGTACTGTAAGATCTGACGGACTGGTTGATTCATCAAGAAAGGATGAAACTGCATTTAAAACTGCTTTGGTTCTAAGTATATCTTATCGTTTTCTGGACTTGCTGGATGTGACAAGATATGAATTCTTCAGACTTTAATAACATTAACCTTAAAGTTAATAAAAATGCTGTCTCAAGGACCTAGTCAAATCATTAGATTAATATTTAGTGCTATCTATTTGAGAGCTATAATAATTTTTACGTTGGATTTTAAAAACTCCACATAAAGAAAAGTTTATCCCCAAACTTAATATTAAGATTGAAGAATTATTACTTATATCTTTCTATGTAAATTAAAATAAACTGTAGCAGGGATATGTGGAGACAACTTCTATAATGTTAAAATTGTTCCAGAGTAAAGCATATTACAGAACATACCTTCAGTTTCAGAAAAGAAAGAAATGAAAGAAGACACCAAGAAAAAGAAATTTCAAAGACCGTACTTAAGGAACTTCAGAGGGTAAAAAGAAAGTCATTATGTCACCTTTTTACATAGGCAAGAGCATTTACCACAGATCCAAATAACTGATTCCACTGAAAAATCTTATGGTAATAATAAGATATTCAGAAAAATTCCCTTAAATTTGTAAATTAAACAACAGACTTCTAAAAATCCATGGATCAAAAATGAAATCACAACAGAAATTAGAAAATACTTTGTGGATAATGGAAACAATACTTTACAATTTATGGGATCCAGCTAAAACAGAGGTTTGAGAAAATTTTGCAGTGCTAAATGCTTATATTAGAATATAAAAAGATATAAAATCAATGCTCTGAGCTTTCACCCCGAGAAATTAGAGAAAGATCAACTTAAAGTGCAGGTAAGTAGATGAAAGGAAATAACAAAAATAAGAATGGAGATTAATGAATTAGTAAATGCACAAACCACAGACAATCAAAAAGGGCAAATGTTTTTTTAAAAACAGATTACTTAAATTGATACTTCCCTAGCAAGACTGATCAAGAAAAAAAGAGAGAAAACACAAATGATAATTTTCAGGAAAAGGAAGGAGAACATTATTACAAATCCTACAGGCATTATTAGGATAATAAGAATATACTGTAATTTTAAGTGGAACCACTGTAAGATGGAAATCTTCTGTACAATATTTATATCAAAGTATAAGATAAGTATGATAATAAATAAACCCCCAAATCTAAGTGGTTTAAACTAAAAAAAAAAAAAAAAAAGAATATATTGTAAACAACTTCATGTCATTTCACCTTGTATGAAATGGACAAACTTACCAAAACACAACTTATCAAAACTGATAGAAGAAATAGAAAATCTAAATAGCTCACATTAGAAACTGCAATTGAAAAAACCTTACAATAAAGAGAAATATAGGGCCACCTGGGTGGCTCAATGGGTTAAGCCTCTGCCTTCAGCTCAGGTCATGATCTCGGGGTCCCAGGATTGAGCCCTGCTTCAGGTTCTCTGCTCTGCAGGGAGCCTGCTTCCCCCTCTCTCTCTGCCTTCCTCTCTGCCTACTTGTGATTTCTCTCTTTGTCAAATAAATAAATAAAATCTTAAAAAAAAAGAGAGAGAAATATAGGTCCAGATGGCTCTACCACTGAATTCTATCAAGCATATACAGAAGAAATAATACCAACACCAATATTAACACCAATTCCTTCAGAAAATAGAGGATATGGGCTACTTCTCAACCCATTTATCAAGTTAACATGACCTGATACTAAACCTGCCAAAAACACCACAAGAAAAGACAATTAGTGACCCATATCCCTCATGAACAATGATGTGAAATCCTTAAGAAAACATAAGCAAATATTTACAAAGATAATACATCATGACCAACAGAGTTTATATCAGGCAAGATAGTTGCACATTAGGAAAAAAGTCAATGTCATTCATCACTTTAACAGAATAAAGGAAAAAAGTGATCTGATTATCTCACAGATGCAGAAAAAGAACATTTAATAAAACTAAACACCTCTAATAAAATTTTTTAGCAAGCCAGGAATAGAATGAAGCAGCTTCAATCTGATAAAGAATATCTATGAAAATCTATAGCTAACATTATTCTTCTTGATGAAACATTAAATCCTATTCCTTTAATAATGGAAACAAGGAAGAATGTCTGCTTTTATCATTTCTACACAATTTTGTATCTCAAGTCCTAGCTAGTACAATAAAGCAAGAAAAATAATAAAAGGCATAAAGGTGCAGTTGCTGTTATACACAGAAAGTATTATTGTACATGTAGAAAACCCTATGGAATCGGCAAAAAAAAAAAAAAGACATAATAGAACCAATATGTTAATTCATCAGGATGATGAGATACAAAAAAATCTGATTCACAAAAATCAACTGCATTCCTATATTCTGGCAACAAAAATAGTTGAAAATAAAAAATTTAAAAATTATACCTTTTAGAACAGTATCAAAAAACACAAATACCAAGGAATAAAACTAATGAAAGATGGGTAAGATATTCACTACAAACTATACAACTTGCTGAGAGAAACTTGAGAAGACTTCAATAAATGAGAACTATACCACATTTACAGATTGAAAGACTCAATATAATTAAGATGTCCATTATTCCCAAACTGACCCATAGATTCAGCACAATCACTAAAAGAATTCTAGGCTTTTCTGAAAAAACAAAACAAAACAAAACAAAACAAAACTGACAGAAAATGCTTCTAAAATACATAAGGACACACGAAGGATCTAGAATAGGAACATAATCTTTTCAAAAACATCTGATAGCAAATTAATCTCTTAAGAGATTATTTGATAATCTTTAAAATATTTTTTGTTTGGAGGACTGATGCTATCTCATTTCAAGACTATAAAGTTACAGTAATTAAACAAGTGTAGTATTGGTATAAGCACAAAGAGACCAAAGGAACAGTAGAGAATCCAGAAACAGACCCACACATGAACATCAACTGACTTTTGACCAAGGTGCCAAGTCAATTTAATGGAGAGAGGAAAGTCTTTTTAACAAATGGTACTGAAAAACTAGATATTCATCCAAGTCAACTCCTATCTAATTTCATACACACAAATTGAGTTGAATCAGAGATCTGAATATAAAACCCAGAACTGTAAAATTTACAGAAGGAAAATAACTTCACAATTTTGGGTACTGGCAAAGATTACTTGGACAGGATGCAAAAAACAACAAAAAAGGAAAAAACTGATACACTGGATTTCATAAAAATTAAAAATTTATGTTTCTGATAAGGGACTTATAACATATAAAAAAATAAATCAATAATGGGCGAAAGATTTAAATAAGCGATTAATAAAAGATCTGTGAAAAGCCAATAAGCACACAAAAAGATGCTTATCATCATTAATCAGCAGGGAAATGCAAATTCAAAGCACAGTAAGATACAGTTTATGC